ATCTTAAAGCTTCCTGGCTGAGGCCGTCAGTTTTAATTCTATTTCTGCTGGTATTTGATGGAGTCTGTTATACCATATGTCCGAATAAAGGGCCCAGGTCCACCACCATACTTCACCGAGGGAATGCTTTTCTGCATGGCTGTGTCCACGCCAAACTCACCTCTGGTGTTTGTTGCCAAAAACCTCTATTTTGGATCATCTGACCACAGAACACAGTCCCACTGAAAGTTCCAGTAATGTTTGGTGGCTTAGGAGCTGAGTTTGTTGGTCCCTGACAGAAGAGGCTTTCTTCTGGCAACCCCCCAAACAACTTGTGGTCATAGATGTGGTGTTTGATTGTGTGAAGTTCACTGACGCCACTGTAAGACGAAGAGCCCCAGGCTTTAACCTCTGTGCTCTACAGAACCTGCAGTGCTGTCTGGTCGGAATTCTTCTCCAGGCTTTCTCCACACAAGTCCACCCTCAGTCTAATGTGCTGAAAATGTTTTTTGTCTGAAATAAAGATCATTGTTAAACATTTTCTGACGTAACCCAAAGAACTAGGATTAAAGAAGATTTAAGCTTTAAAGAATTGGTAAACATTAAAGTTTACCAGTGGTTAAAGTGTCTAAATACATTTTGGGGTTACCGTAGGTAACATGGAAGCATATCAAGGATATTGTGTTCAAATTACCTGGTTGATGAAAACTAATTTATCATCTAGAACTCTGATTTTCACACAAGTGTTTTTAAATACAGCTTCATCGGCCATTGAAGGTCAGTTGGTAATTTGGCAAATTGGTATTTTTCAGTTTCCGAGTTATTTTCTCAGTTATTTCTCAGTTTTTTAGAGTTATTAATGCTATACTATTCCGATTTAATAACATAATCAGCGACATAGTTACATATCATACAACAGTTAGTTCTGGCCACGCAAGCTGATTGGTTGTGAAGCGTTCTAAAACGGGTTTTTCACAAACACTATCACTCTGCTGAGACGCCGTTGCTAAGCAATGACTTTGACAGTTGTAGGAGACGCTCAAGCCATTTGAACGTTTTTACTTCTTACTTTGCCACAAACAGAAAATGGACACTTTTAAGATCACATTTGACCGACAGCCGATTTGGTCAGACTCTGAAGATGAGACGACACTAAATTCCCAAACTGTCGTCACCACTGAGCAGCTTTTCAGTCGGCAGCTGTGACAGAAGAACCTAAACAACCTGGAATCAGCCAGAAATGAACCCAACACCATTCGCCAAACTAAATGGGCTGTAAGATGCTTTACAGACTGGCTGGAACAAAACAACATTAATATTGATCTGACAAAACTGAGCTAAACCTGATATTGCAGCAGTTTTATGGCTCAGTCTGTACTTCAAAAGGCGAGGCTTACAGCAGACTGTGCAGTGAGTGGGCGGAGCTCGTTACTCTGACGTATCAACAAGCTGCTCGTTAAGGAACTATAATTTGGTGAAGGAACTGCGAACATTAAAACATATTAATCGCCGCGTTCACGGCCCAGTTTATTAATTTATTACTTTATTTATTTAACTGTTGTATAAAAGCAATAGAACACTCGAGGAGTGTGTTATCACCAATAACATCACGGCTGTGATGATCTACGGCGACCAAATCACAGCCGTGATGTTATTTCGCGATAACACACTCCCTCTCATGATCTACTGCTTAAATATATTACATTTACATTTGATTTACATACTGAACAGGTTCAAGTCTGCCTTTCTACTGTTTTTTACTGAGTACACCATTTCAGTGAAATTCAAAGCATCATAAAATATCTTTTTATTTTCCTTGAGAGAGATAATTAATATAAAATTATAATCTGCTTTTGTTATTGCTGGTGAAAACTGCAACTTCTGAACTTCTTCTAAGACTCGGCCTCTGCTGAGAGGCCTGAGTGGAGTTGTGGATTAGATATAATAATGAATAATGGTGCCTCTGAGCGCTGAACAGTCATGTGTCCTCAAAGTCACTGCCTCCAACTCCGCATATGGTGTTCTTCCAAGTTTAATTCCCTGTTTGTTTTTTAGCTCAGGGAGTGACAGTGAGGTTGAAAAGATTCAGATGTGGGTTGGTCCATCTTTGTCCCTGCTCATAAAGCGCTCCGTTATCTGATCCCGTTCTTTCAGTCTCTTCAGCTTAGTTTATGGAGGCGCTCGGTGTTTATCGTAACATAAACCAAAGCCTGAGTGGAAACTGGTGTGCGAGAGCGAAAGAAGGCGAGCGAAATCAGAGCTGCACTCTGAGACAGTGAAGACATAAGGAATGGAGCAAAGGACACAAGTCTACAACCGTTGGTTATATTAGAGACGAGGTTGTGTGGAAAGACTAGGGTGGGTGAACTGGAACTTCTATCTCATTCTGACCGTATGATGGATCAGGGCTGAGCGATTAATCGGTTTTATATCGAAATTGCAATTTTAAAGAGCGCAATTTTCAAATCGCAAGAGCTGCAATTTTTATCATAGTCTTATAGTCTATTTTCAACGACACTCTTAAAAAAGGATGGTTCTTTAATGGTTCTTTAGTAAAGAAAATGGTTCTATACAGAACAGTGAACACCTCAAAGAACACTTTGCATGATTAAATGGTTCCTCGTATCGTGAAAGCGTTCGTCAGACTGATGGAGAATGTGCTGTAGATGGTTCCATATAGAATCTTTTTGAAAAGCGTTCTGTATAGCACCCAGAAGGGTTCTTCTATTGTTTCGGTGTCAAGCTAGTAACAGTAGCAGAACCCTTTTGGGTGCTATATAGAACCATATACAACACAATCAGAAGAACCGTTTCACAATGCAAAAAAACATTTAATCAGGCCAAGGGTTTCTTGAGGGTTCATAGTTCCATAGAACCATTTTCCTTACTAAAGAACTCTTAAAGAACCATCTTTTTAAGTGTGAATGATATGTTGTGAGGTTTAAGTAGGGAAATTTAACCTAATCACACGGAGCTCGTGAACTGCTTTAAGAAGAATTCGACGAATCAGAAGCAACCAAACAACTGTGTGCTGTGACATCACAACCGCAAATAACTGGGAGGCTGGTGCTCCGTGTTAAGAGTTCAAGCCTCAAGACAGAAACGTATACGCTGGTCTTCTTAGTCAAAAATAGACTCAGACATCAGTTTATAGAAAACATTCGCAGTTTAAATCATAATCGCAATATTGGACAGAAAAATCGCAATTAGATATTTCGCCAAAATCGTTCAGCCCTACGATGTTTAGTACGATATGATAAAAAAGCTAAATAAGCTCTAAGCTAGCTGAGCATTTTTTGAGGGGAGGTAAAACATGATATTATTTGTTAATATTACTTTGCCTGCTGGTTCATGGTGATGTAATTAAAACTGAAACATTTTAGAAGTGTCATTAGTGTCATTAGACTTTGATAGAAGATTTCAGAAAAACAAGTATTTTGTTCTTATTTTATATGATGAATCGTGAATTAACAGGGTAAAAATTGTCAGTTGTGATTTCAGGTTGACTTCAAATCTTAGAAAAGTAAATACAGTCAGTTTTCAACTGAAAAGCTTAGTTTTTGTTGCTTTATTGTGCAAACGCCAACTGTCGTGCACACTCATGGAATCATGGAATAACGTCACACTAATCATCCATTATGTTTAAGTATCTCGGGGTCTTGTTCTCGAGTGATGGGAAGAGAGATGGTGAGATCGGCCACAGGCTGGGACAGGCGGCAGCAGTGATGGGGTCACTGTACCGGACTGTAGTGGTGAAGAGGGAGCTGAGCCATACGGCAAAGCTCTCTGTTTACCGGCCGGTCTACATCTCAGCCCTCACCTGTGGTCGGACCCAGAGCTCCATCTCCGTTGGCTGATCTGCACTGTTTTTTAACACCATGGAGCTTCACACTGTACAAAGCTGTGCAAACCTCACCTGCATGAACTGACCCTCCTGCTGCTGCTGCATAAACTCAAACTATCTAATTAATCTTTGCTCCACCTGTTTTTCCCCATTTTGTATTCTAATATTTTATTCTAACGCTGTTTGCTATCCGGTGTTGACCAGAGGAGGATGGGTTCCCCTTTTAAGTCTTGGTTCCTCTCAAGGTTTCTTCCTGTTGCTCTTAGGGAGTTTTTCCTTGCCACTGTCACCATTGGCGACACTCATGGGGGCTCGGACCCAGATTTTTCTGTAAAGCTCCGTTGTGACAACACCTGTTGTAAAAAGCGCTGTATAAATAAACTTTGACTTTGGTCCTGAGCTTTGGGTAATGACCGAAAGAATGAGGTCGCAGATTCCAGTGGCGGAAATGAGTTTCTTCGCAGGGTGGTGGGCTTCACTCTACTTGATAGGGTGAGGAGCTCGGTCATCCGGGAGGAGCTCAGAGTAGAGCGACTACTCCTCCGCATTGAGAGGAGCCAGTTGAGGTGGTTCGGGCATCTGATCAGGTTGTCCCCTGGACGCCTCCTGGTGGGGGTTTACCAGGCACAGCCCACTGGGATGAGACCCCGGGTCGTCCTAGGATCCGCTGGAGGGATTATATCTCCAAGTTGGCCAGGGTGCGGCTTGGGGTCCCCCGGAACGAGCTGGAGCAAGGTGTGGGGGACAGAGTCGTCTGGGATTCTCTGCTCTCCCAACTGCTAACATGACCCTGGATTAAGCAGTTAAAGATGATGATGATGCTGATGATGCTGATGATGATGATAGTAGTCCATTATACTGGCTCACTACAAAGGTGCCTGTCAAGTAGGAGGCTGCATTGTGACATTTGTATGTCCATTAATGGTGACTAAACCGCATTAAATAGAATGTGTGTGGTCTAATTGAACATACAGGGAAAACAAACTGCTCTGAACTATTAAGGTGATTTTGATATGATTTAAACTTACAGTGGATCACATGGTTCCTGCCAAGCAGTAAGTCCTTCCCCAGGTTTTCAGGGGTGAAAACCCATATTGTTCAGAGAGTATTGTTAATTCTATGGGCCATTAACCATACTCCTCTCTCCCTGTGTCTCTTTGTGTGTGTGTGTTTATAGGTTAAGGTGTGTCGTGGCCCCTGGCCCCCTCCGTGGATGTCTGTCACCATGGCGAAGCGAGAGACGGGCAGCACAAGTCCAGTGGTGCGGCAAATAGACAAACAGTTCCTGGTCTGCAGCATCTGCCTCGATCACTACCACAACCCCAAAGTCCTGCCCTGCCTGCACACCTTCTGCGAACGGTACGGCTTCCTCACTTTCTCTGTACACTGATTCACACTCTGTGAGACGATCTTTAAACCTGTAAATATTGCCTGGTCAATTTAAAAGGATGCTCACACTTCCAGGGCTCAACTGATGGGCCCCCTATAACTCTATAGTGTAGATAATTCTGAAGTACCTGTTGTGTCATGTTATTTATGTAGCCACACACTGACACATTATTGTCTGTATCTTCATTAAAAGTAGCACTTCCAGGCCATAGTTAACCTTCCAAAGCTGAAACTAGGTCTGGGCAGTATGACGTTATTTTGATAAATTTCATCACAGTGTGTTTTTCTGAGCATATCATGGACATAGTGCTTAAAGAGCACTGACCAACTGCATGTTTCATTACAAAGCGAGCATAATTAGTCCTGTTGAATTGGATTTAGAGCAGCACAGTGTGTAAAATATTGAATAAAAAATTAGGATTCATAGTTTTAATATAATCTCCTTTTCAAAAATGTTGTCAGACTGTGCAAAATATATATAAAAACAGAATGCAGCAATGTGCAAAGTCATTTAACCCTATATTTAATTGAAAATAGTACAAAGACAACATTTGAAATGTTGAAACTGAGATATTTTATTGTTTTATTTGCCCATTTTGAATTTGATGCCAGCAACATGTTGCTAAAAAGTTGGGACGGGGGCCTGTTTACCACTGTGTTTCATCAGCTCTTCTTTTAACAGCACTCTGTAAGTGTTTGGGAACTGAGGAGACACTGCTGTAGTTTAGAAAGTGAAATGTTTTCCTGTGCTAGCTTAACGTAGGATTTCAGCCGCTCAACAGCTGCTTTGTTATATTTTTCATTTCATTTTGCTCCAGATGTTTTCAGTGGTGACAGGTCAGGGCTGCAGGCAGGCCAGTTTAGCACCCGGACTCTTTTAATATGGAGCAATGCTGTTGTAATACATGCAGATTGTGGTTTGACACGGTCTTGCTGAAATAAGCAAGGCCTTCCCTAAAAAGGCATCATCTAGATGGCAGCACATGTTGCTCCAAAACCTGAATATATTGCTCAGCATTACTGATGCCCTCACAGATGTGCACTAATGCACCCACATACCATCGCAGATGCTGGCTTTTGACCTGTGCGCTGATAACAAGCTAGATGCTCCATCTTCTCTTGAGCACAGAGCTCAGTTGATTCGTCAGACCACAGAACACTTCTCCACTTCGTCTCAGTCCATCTTAAATGAGCTCAGGCCCAGAGAAGGTGGCAGAGTTTCTGGAGCCTGTTTATATATGGTTTCATCTTTGTAGGGTGGAGTTTTAACTTGCATTTGTGGATGCAGCAACGAACTGTGTTCACAGTCAGTGTTTTTTGGGACTGTTCCTGAGCTCATGCAGCGATTTCTACTACAGAATCATATCTGTATTTAATGCAGTGCTGCCTGAGGGCCCGAAGATCACAGCCATCCAGTTTTCAGCCTTGTCCCTTGCATACAGAGATTTCTCCAGATTCTCTAAATCTTTTAATGATATTATGTACCGTAGATGATGGAATCCCCAAGTTCTTTGCTGTTTTACGTTATTCTTGTCTTTCTCAGAGTGGTGAACTCCTCCCCATCTTTACTTCTGGAAGACTCTTTTTACGCTCAGTTATGTCGCTGTCCTGTTGCCAGTTCACCTAATTAGTTGTAAGATGTTCCACCAGGTGTTGTTTTTTTTTAGCATTACACAACTGGACCAGTGTTTTGTTGCCCCCGTCCTAACTTCTTTAAAATGTGTTTCACGTAAATATAGGGTTCAAATGATTTGCATATCATTTGCATTGTGCATTTTTACCATATCGTAGTTTAACAGTAGTTACTGACTGATATAAATCGGTTGTTGAGTTTTCTCAGTGATCACATTTCTTTTTTTGTGATCAACTTTTAATTGCATTTTTCATCATGTTTTACAGCAAGGGAGGGGAAAGGTAAGCGGGAGGGGAAGGCAGGACGGTGTCATACATTTTTGGAAAACACACAAATCGAAAATAAAACGAAGACAATATATAAACAACTACACAACTGAACAACATCACATAATTTAATTGAAAACTAAAGTTGTTGAATAGAGTCATATAAATCCTTCCATCCGAACTAAGTGATCACATTTCTTAAACCCACACAAACAACAGAAACTGTTCGTAATCATTTTTAATTATTAAATTTGAGGTGGAGCCACCAAGAAGTCTGTGTTGTTTTGAACCCTGTTATTATTTTCTTTCTTATTGATTTCTTTCTTTTTTCTTTATTTTTCACCAATATTTTTCATAGAAACAGTTTTTTGTGCTCTAACGTTATTCTCATGCTACAGGTTAGGTTTGGATTAGGACCACACTCTTAAAAATGAGTTCCATATAGAACCATTGCATGCTTAATGGTTCTTCGCATGGTGAAATCGTTCTTCAGATTGATGAAGAATATATTGTACATGGTTCTAGATATAACCTTTTTGAAAATGGTGCTGTGTAGCACCAAATGGCTCTTCTATTGTTATGATATGTTTTTAACAATAGAAGAACCCTTTTTGGTGCTATATACAATCTGAAGAACAGTTTCACCATGCAAAGAACCTAGAATTTAAGCATGAAGTGCTTCTTTGAGTGTTTATGGTTCTATACAGAACCATTGTCGTTACTAAAGAACCCTTGAAGAACCATCTTTTTAAGTTTTATAGATAAATCCGCTAATTAAAATATTAAAAAATGGAAAAGCCATTTGAGTAACAGGCATGCTTACTGCTGTTATGAGCCCAGGCTCTTCTGTGTGGAAAGAGATGTTTATCAATCCAGATTCTTGCTCCTCACCAGAAGCACACAGCTGCAGCTCTGCTCTCCGGACTCAGTGCGGACCCCTTGTGATTTGGCACAGCTTGTGAGGTTCTCAGTTCCAGGCGACTGTATCAGTTTTAACTCCAGGTTCAGACCAGATAAGTTTCCTGCTGCTCTGAAACGCTACCTACCCTACATGAACTGTAGGAAAATCATTCAGACTGCACTGGCCATTAAAGCCGTCATGGTTCTAGTGTGTGTTCCATGGCTTAGAAACCTTTCGCACGTTTTTATTTTAGGGCAACAGTTAAAATGACACCGTTTCTGCTCTCTGCCACCTCTCACTGCACTTCAGAGCCAGATCAGAGTCCCCGGTTTGGGTAGAATCAGCATTTTAATGCAGTTTGCTATGAAATAATTATTTAAATGTGATTATTTAAAAGTATTTCAATGGTTTATTCAAAAGCAAAACAAATAAAAAAAATAGTATCTACAATTATGAAAATGAAACGTCATTTCTTAATGGTGTAGAATATTCAAGATCATTTTCAGTAGTTCCAGAAAATGTTAGTTTAGAGCAGCCGTGTCAAACCCAACCACTAAAAGGGTCGTATTAAGAATCCCAACAAACCAGTGGACCATCATTTTCATTTTTATCTTGCTAAAACCCAAACTGGCCATTGTTTATTCCAAATGAGGCAAAACATCAACAGCAAAGTAGACCTTGAAATATCACATAAAACTTGAAATATTAACTTTTTTTTTTTTTGCTGCAAGTTCATTTATTCTTAGGATTTCTAAGCTGAACTAAGTGTTTAAATTGGTGGAACTGCAGCTGAAATGCAGCTTGTATGTTTGGTGTTATGACAGATGTGGTAGAATTGAGGTGTAACCGCTGTCCCATAGATTAGGGCTGAACGATTTTGGCAAAAAATATAATTGCGATTTTTCTGCCCAATATTGCGATTATGATTTAAACTGCAAATGTTTACTATAAACTGATGTTGAGTCTTTTTTTGACTAAGGAGACCAGCGTACACATTTTTGGCTTGAGGCTTGAACTCTTAACACGGAGCACCAGCCTCCCAGTTATTTGCGGTTGTGATGTCACAGCACACAGTTGTTTGGTTGCTTCTGATTCGTCGAATTCTTCTAAAAGCAGTTCACGAGCTCCGTGTGATTAGGTTAAATTTCCCTACATAAACCTCGCAACGTATCAACATTCACACTTAAAAAGATGGTTCTTTAAGGGTTCTTTAGTAAAGAAAAAGAAACTCTTGGCCTGATTAAATGGTTTTTGCATTGTGAAATGGTTCTTCTGATTGTGTTGTATATGGTTCTATATAGCACCCAAAAGGGTTCTGCTATTGTTACCAGCTTGATACCGAAACAATAGAAGAACGCTTTTGGATGTTATATAGAACCTTTTTCAAAAACATTCTATCTAGAGCACATTCTCCATCAGTCTGAAGAACCCTTTCATGATGCGAGGAACCATTTAATCATGCAAATTGTTCTTTGAGGTGTTCACGGTTCTATATAGAACTATTTTCTTTACTAAAGAACCCTTGAAGAACCATCTTTTTTAAGAGTGTAGTTGAAAATAGACTATGAGACTATGATAAAAGTTGCAGCTCTTGCGATTTGAAAATTGCACTCTTTAAAATTGCGATTTCGATATAAAACCGATTAATCGCTCAGCCCTACCATAGATTGCTGTTGGGGAGGGAGTGAGAACACACATTACATTGCAGTGCATGCTGGGGATTGTAGGACAGGGCATTGTAAAAGGTCTTGTGTTTGACAAATGTGGTTTAGAGTATTTGGTTCAAAAGGAGAATGCTGCTCAGATGATCATGGTTTAACTCGATTGTTCATCATAATCATCATCTTCTCCGGTTCCTTTTCATTTTCATTTGAAGGAACGTTAAAATATGTGTGCTTTGTTTTGGTCGTGTGCAGAGTTGATCTAAAACTGCCGAATAAGCTACAGGGCTGCTACTAGCCTTTATTAAAAAAGACATTTCTTTTCTAGCTGGACTAATTATGACTGCGGCAACATAGCTAATGATCCACTGCTGTTTGATGTCAGATCACGGCAGAGTGGACTCTGGTGGTTTGGTTTGGGTCAGCTCACATGAAATCGTGTGAGTGTGCCCACTGTCCCTGTGCTCTATTTTGAGTCATGCCCGGGGAGTCATATGACTCATTAGAAGGAAATAATAGAGTTGTATCTGAAATCTAAAGGGGAGGGTTCAAGTTTACTGCCGCAGTCCAGTCCAGTCATGCTAGCCTGTCCCATTTCTTTGGAATAACGCAAACAAACAAGCTTCCCTCGTTGAGGGCGAGCACCTAGGAGTATAGTGGAAAATGTAGTGACACAATGACAGGAAGTGGCATGAGTGGTCTCTCCTTGCCAGGGGTCCTTTCCCTTTGAGTACACAGTGCAGTTTGACAGCACAGCAAGGCTGTTACACCCCCACTGGCTCTTAGTGTTTTGGCCGCAGCAGTTTTTGTCCATGGGCTGTGTTGAGCTACTGCGCCTCTCCATGTTTTGACAGACCCAGAATTCAGAGTGTTGAATGAATTTAATCTCTTGCCCTCGTCCACCCTCCATCTCTCTCTCTCTCTCTCTCTCTCTCTCTCTCTTTCTTTCACTGACTCTCTCTCTTTCTGACTTTTTCCCAATCCACTTCTACTTTTAGACTCTCATACTAGTGCTGTACGATACTGCAGAATTTGGTATTGATCCGATACCAAGTAAATACAGGGCCAGTATCGCCGATACTGATAGCGATACTTTTTACTTATAAAAGCAGATTATGTACTTTCATGTAGGGGAGAGCAGTGTGTCGTGATCTATGAGGTGAATCTATCATCATTATGCTAAATCTGAATACATTTTCATGACCACTAAGTGATTTTTGCTTTCCACTGTTAATTAGTTAATCAGGTGTGTGTTTAAACCCAGGACAGCAAAGTTTTTTTTTTTAGGCAAATAAAAAATGTTTTCTTATCCTTTCTTACTGTAATGAACTTAATTTGCAAACATTAATTCTGCACGAAATTACTACTGTACAACAATGAATGTTCTAAAACTTACATTTTTCTTTCCTTCAGCCTGTGCTTTTTGTTCAGAAACAATTAAATAATAAGAAAAACTTAATTTCTCTCTTTCATTGCACTTTTCTGGCTTTGGTAAAATAAACAAAGAGTACAAAATTATTACTGGAGAACGAATGTTTTAAAACTTAAATTCTTTTTCAGAGGTTTTTGTTCAGAAACAATAATATAATATACCACTATATAAGCTACCTGGATAATCTCTGAAAGGACTCTGCCAGTGTCCTCTGACTCTGTGTTGGAGGTCTAGGTCTGTCTGAGGGGTTTCCCTCCTCCTCTCTCTGTGTCTTTTGCAGCTCGGAGTTCTGTTTTTCATGTTTTTTCATATGTTTGTATAAGTTGGTGGTGTTGCCACAGCAGAGAATAGCCTTCTTACACACATCACAGTTTGCAAGGCTTTAATTTACAGCCATAAAATATCTCCACACGATGCTCCTCTTTCTCTCTGCTATGCTCTCAATCACCACAGCCTACAGGTGTGTGAACTTAGCGCTGCTGAGTCACGTGACAGCACGACAACAAAACAGCAGGGGAGGGGAGGAGGAGCAAAGTATGCATGCAAGATGCGAAAGAGAGCCGCGACTGAACGTAGAGGAGAGAAGTATCGATCCCATCACCCTAGTATCGATCCGATACCAATACCAACGTTGGTATCAATGGTATCGACATTTGGATCGATCTGCCCACCCCTATCTTGTACACTTCACCCTCTACTAATTTGGTACTTTCTACATCTTCAGCCTCTTAAAGGAGTGCTTACAGCACCATTGGCTTCTTTCCCACATATAGGTGTGTTTCGGGTCATCTGGCTTTCTGTTCTCCTTTAAGGCATCGAAATTATTGTCTATGGTAATTGACCCTATGTTACAGATGCAGCAGATGAAGGTTAAGTTAAAAAATGTTGGCCTATTCCTTTAATAATAAGGAATTCCTTTTGATTTTGACGTATTCACTGCACTGCAGATGCAGCAAGTTGAAAAAATGCTGGACAGTTCCTTTAATCTCATCTTAACTGTTCTTTTTCTTCTGCTTCAGGTGCTTACAGAACTACATCCCACCCCAGTCGCTGACCCTGTCCTGCCCGGTGTGCCGACAGACCTCCATCCTGCCCGAAAAGGGTGTGGCGGCGCTGCAGAACAACTTCTTTATCACTAATCTGATGGAGGTGCTGCAGAGAGACCCAGAGTGCTCCCGTCCCGAGGCCTGCAGCGTGCTGGAGTCGGTCAGTGCCGCGGCCGCTGGGAAACCTCTCTCCTGCCCAAATCACGAGGGCAAAGTAAGCTTCTTACCAATTTAGAGCTGATCATGAAAGAAACTTGGTAAAACTCTGAAAACTGGAGAGATTAGGGAGTGATAGTTTTAAATAATCAGCACATTGTTTGTGCTGTTGCTGGAGAATTCAGTGGTCTTGATTCCAGTAGTGAACGAGAACCTACACGGTAGGGTGGGGCAGTTTGGTTCTGACGTCTGGACATCTGGCTCTTGGAATCTGATCAAAGAAACATTGAAATTTTAAACAAACACTTATTTAAGATGTTACCATGACAAGCTGACCAACCCCTCTTGAGAGCTTTGATGCTGAAACTTTAGCCTCAGCCAGAAAGCAGTTATAGTAGCCCTAAACAATATTTGGTCAGTCAATAATGATTTTGGCTTATAAACATTAGCAGTATAGACTTATAAAAGCACTGTGACCATTTACACCTGGCTGTTTCGTGTGTCTTAAGTATCGCAGTTATATCCTGATGGGGGTTATCAACGACAGACCTGCTAGTGTTTAAAGTATTTGGGATTATTTGGATCATTAGAAGCAGAAAATGCATATAATGTTGAAAAATTAAGTGTATCATGTATTTAATGGCCGTTTTGACCAGAAAACTAACCCCATTAAAATCCCAGACTTTACACATAACTACAGGGACTTCAATGGAAACTGAGTTAACTGGAGTTATTCATAGGTTATTCTTGTGTGACGTCACACTGTATAGTCACCGCCATTCTAAAGATCGAATCAGGGACTGACTGCACTGCACGACACCTTCAATTTGCTGTGCTTTGTTAATAATTCACCTACAAGACGCGACAGAAGCCGAGAGACGAGAGACACACAGACCTTTAATTCAGTGTTTAACTCCAGGCTTGGAGCCGCTGCACTGTACAGTTCAGTGTTTCTCTCTGCTGTTCACCTCGTTCAGCTCAAGAAGGAATTAATTAGCTAATAATATCAGGGATTTTAACCAGGAAACCACAGTTATGCAGTGCAGCGGTTTCAGGACTGGAGCTGAACTCTGAACTAACTGAACCAGCAAACTTACAGAATCACGTCTGTCGAAACACGACGTCGTTTTCCGACCCACGACATTCAGTCTGATATTTAACGCTTATGTTTCTCCATTCAAACGTCATTTAAATCAGAAACAGAGAGTAAAGTTATACTGGCGGTCTGCAGCTCCGTTAGGGGGCGACTGTTCATCTCTCGGCTGTTAACATCAGCTAAAGTTATCTAAAGGCTGGCATTGATCACATCTGTGTTAATTAGCTGATGTCGTTTCCCTCCTATGATGACAGTGTTTTCTCCTCTTTATGAACACCATGGGATCCTTTACCCACCCTGACGTGAAGAGCCGGTGGGCTTCAGTGCTTTTAAATGCTCTGAGAGACTCCAGAATAGGGAGAGGGGCTGAGTGTGAGATTAATATATCAGGAAAACACAAATTTGGTAGCTTTTCTTCCAGTTTAAGTGGGATCAGGAGTTCAGGAGAAACCTTATAAGAATCGCAGCCTATTTTAGTTTATCTCTTCCAAAGTAAGCTGAGTAATTTTAGCCATCTTCCATCTCTAGTTACGTTCGTGTGGAGCAGTGAAGCCAGAAATTCGGTCCCAAATATGGCGACCACAACAGAAAAATCACATGACCGAAACCCTAGGATAGAAGTGAGTAATAAAAATCTGGCCATGTAGGGGGTTAAATAGATGAAAGTGGTCAGTGACTTCTGCCCAGGACTGTATATAGATTTCAGTTTGTCTAACTGGAGAAATATTTGATAACTAATTGTAAATACGTGGTTAAAATTGCATGAAAACAGCCACAATTACAAACATTTAACATAAAATGTTTATAACATGTAATAAACAATACACTGATCATCAGAAGGCCTATACTTTTGAAACTGAAGTGTACCTGTTGTCTTGACCACAGGCCTAGACAGTGAAAGAACTGATGCTTGGAACAATACTAAATTAGCAAAGGCCAAGGTTGATAGTTTCTCAAAACCTAAGCAATGAAAACACTGGACGCTGGGCAGACTTAACTGCCCCTCATCCCAGACTGCAAAGCATGAAAAGAGCTCTACCCGGACACAAGCATCACGCAGCGCATCAGGGCATTGTTATAATCCTCTTACTTTTCCCAACCAGCAAAGGAAATGTTGTGGAAGTGAAAATCCTATATTTGCCCCAAACATCACATCTAGATAAGCCCCTTATATACCATCTCAGCTACAAGGGTGTGGGTGTTCTCCCAGTGCTCCATAAACAGCTGTTGTGTCCCCACTGCTGGGATAACTGGTACATGTTGTTCAGTGGTCTTTGAATCACTTTGACATTACACCGACCAGCCACTTCATTAGGTACACCTACTTACATCTACACTCACTGTCCATTTTATCAGCTGTACCTACTCACTGTCCACTCTAGACACTCCTACCTTGTCAGTCCACCTTGTAGATGTAAAGTCAGAGACGATAGCTCATCTGCTGCTGCACAGTGTGTGTTGGTCATCCTCTAGTCCTTCATCAGTGGTCACAGGACGCTGTCGGCTGGATATTTTTGGTTGGTGGACTATTCTCAGTCCAGCAGTGACACTGAGGTGTTTAAAAAAACTCCAGCAGCACTGCTGTGTCTGATCCACTCAGACCAGCGCAACACACACTAACACACCACCACCACGTCAGTGTTACTGCAGTGCTGAGAATGATCCACCACCCAAATAGTACCTGCTCTGTGAGGGTCCATGGGGGTCCTGACCACTGAAGAACAGGGTAAAAGGGGGCTAACAAAGTATCAGAGAAACAGATGGACTACAGTCTGTAACTGTAGAACTATAAAGTGCACCTATATAGTAAGTGGAGCTGATAAAATGGACAGTGAGCGTAGAAACAAGGAGGTATATGTAATGTAGTGGCTGCTCAGTGTATATTGTACAGTAGAGATGCTCACTGATGCCCTCTGCAGGTGATGGAGTTTTACTGCGAGTCGTGTGAAACGGCCATGTGTTTGGACTGCACGGAGGGCGAGCACCGAGAGCATGTGACTGTCCCGCTGAGAGACGTTCTGGAGCAACACAAAGCAGCACTGAAGAACCAGCTAGACGCCATCCGCAACAGGTACCACCCTTTACCACCGGCACCTAAATTACAGCAAAAGAACAAAAACAATCTGTTTAAACTAATAACCCAAAACTGAATGTATTGTTTTTGTTCATATTGATTACATCATTCAGACATACACAATGTAGGTTGGGGACAAAGTATGTGAACTAATGACTTCTACAAAAGTTAATTGGAGTCAGTTTAGCCAACCTGGCATATAATCAATGAAATGACATTGGAGGTGAGGGTTAGAATTACTTATTAAAAAACAAACATTTTGAATTTGCTATTCACAAGACGCATCTGCTGATGTGAGCCAAGCCTCGCAAAAAAAACAATCGATCAATAATTGCTGATTTGCATAAAGCTGGAAGGGTTGCCTTGTGATCTCAAGATCTTCAGGTTTGGTAGATGAAGCTAAAGAACCAAGTTTCTCACAAAGCAGTTTTCTCTGAGTTTTTGTACCAACAATCAGTATTTGCGTTTTTTAGTGATTTAATTGTAGAAAATTTTGTGACATCCACTGAGAAATATCTGACACACAGCTGGTTAGTCTGTCTACAGAGTCTTGATCATCAGAAGGAATGGAAATGTTTAACTGGGTGTCATCAGCATAGCTATGAAAATTAATTTATGTTTCCTAATAACATCACCTAGAGGTAACTTGTACAAAGAGAAAAGCAAAGGCCCTAAAACTGAACCTTGAGGGACTCCACAAGAAAAACTACATACAAAGTTTCTGTGTAGGTAGTATTTGAACTTGACCATTAACCTGCAGGTTTTGTATTTGTTCCATTGGCAGGCTGCCTCAGCTCACAGTAGCTATTGAGCTGGTGAATGAAATTTCCAGGCAGCTAACAGAGCGAAAGAACGAAGCGGTGAATGAGATCAGTGGCACGTTTGAGGAGCTGGAGCGAGTGCTGCACCAGCGCAAGGCGGCCCTCATCGCCGACCTGGAAAACATCTGCAGCGCCAAGCAGAAGGTCAGTCATACCTCAGTAGAAATGAATGAGTAACTCGTCACAGTTCTTTCTCCTGTTTAAAATTCCTCATATACCGTTTATTTTGCAATAAATATCATCACAAAGCAGCTTTACAGAAACCAGTGTCCCAGTTCCTCATTACCAAGCAAAAGGAGATGGTCTCAGAGAGTATGACCAAAAACACCGGGAGGAATCAGGGCTCAAGACGGTCTTCCTCTGCTTGACACTAGGGCTGAAAGATTAATCGTTTTTATATCAAAATTGCAATTTAGGACAGTGCAATTTACAAATTAACAACAAATTAACAACCCATTTGCATGCTTAAATGGTTCTCTGCATGGTGAAATAGTTCTTCAGATTGATGGAGAAATGTGTTGCATGTGGTTCTCTATAGCACCAAAAAGGGTTCGGCTATTGTTATGATACCAAGCTTGTAACAGTAAAACCTTTTCAAAAAGGTTCTATGTAGAACCATTTACAACACACTCTCCATAAATCTAAAGAACCATTTCACCACGCAAAGAACTTTTTAAGCATGCAAGTGAGTCATTGAGTGTTTATGGTTCTATATAGAACCATTTTCTTTACTAGAGAACCCTTGAACAACCTTTTTTTAAGTGTGTACATTAGCAAAAGTGTTGTTTTATATGGGGAAATTGAACGGCCTGTAGGTGAGTTAGGCCAGTCAGAGGCAACCAAACCTCCATGTGTTGTGACATCACAACCACTACCTACTGGGAGTTTCGCACGGTTCATTCAGGGGTCGAGCCACAAGACAAAAAGATGGATATTTTGGTGTTCTTGGCCAAAATAAATCAGGACTGAATCTCAATTTATTATAAATTGCAATTTAAATTGCAGTCACAATATTAGTTGGAAAAATCTCAATTAGATATTAATAAATAAGAGCCATAAGAATTATGGACAAAGTTTAAATATTACACAGAAGACACCAGATCAACCAAAGAAAACCAATGAGTAATATTAGAGTTGAAAAAGATGGAGGAATAAATCTGGTTGACTAGCAGTCGAGGTAAATGTGTTAACATGAGCCCACAGAAAAATGGACTGGATGACATTTAGGCTACGTTCACATTATGAGCCTCATTGCTCAAATCCGATTTTTTACTGAAATCTCTCTGACACGATTCAAATCTGTCATTAACATGAACGAACCGGCGTCCCTGAAATGATCCTCATGAGCTCATCCTACTCAGTAACGTCACGTGAATGAATCACGTTCATCATCAGCACAAACTAACGAGCAGAACGAGCTTCGCTGAGAAGATAATTAACTCTGATCAGCTCTCAGCTTCATTATTAGAGCGAGACGGAGGAGAAAAAGGTGAGATGAGCTGCTTTTCCACCGTTTACAGGCTTTAACTTCTGTTCGGCGCTGTTGCCATGGTAACGCTGAATGATGGCGCAGTGGAAGAAAAGCACATGAATTCTGTTCTGAGTGTCACATTAAGGTCACATGGCCACAAATCAGATACGTATCCGATCTAGGACCACATATGAAAGTGAGATCAGATTTGCGTGTCCACACAGCCCTGAAAACATCAGATCTGAGTCACATTAGGGCAAAAAATTGGATTTGGCCACTTCAACCTGGTAATGTGAACGTAGCCCTAATCATGTATGACTTGTTCTCTACATGAGGAGTTAAACAAGCATCCATTGCATGCAGAAAAACTTTAATCATCCATGAAATGCAGTTTTCTAAAGCATCTAATGCACAAAACATAGACAGAGATAATCATATTCCTAAATAATAAGGAAAATAAGTCTTACTGATGATGAAGTTATCCAGCTACGACAGCAGTGCTCACCTCTAACTCTCAGACTTAGACAGGTTATTTTTTCAAGAAGTGTTTGAGGTGATGGACAGCATGAATGGCGGTTTCTTTCAGTTTCAGCACAGTTTGTTTTCTGAGAGACTAAATGTTTGGTTTCTGTTGCTTAGAACAGCAGTAAATCATCCCTGTATGGTTCAGGCTGTTGTTAGTTTATGTGCAGCATCGGTTAGAATTAACTTTAGGGGTCAGTTATGCATATTATAATTGGGTCATTCTACAGAAACGTCCAAAAAAACATGTTAGGGTTACAATTTATTTATATTTTAAAATAAAACAATTCCTTATTTTAACATTTGCACCTTTTTCAGTCATCATATTAGCAGTATAGGTTTTAAATCAATTATCTAGAATTCCAAGCACCACAGAAGAGCTCGTCCCTACAGTCATGTGTAAAGGCCGAGGCCATATTTTGAAGAAAAAAAACACATTTTTCTGCTATTTTAACTACAATAATCTATACATGACTATGAAATATATTAATTAAATTACATAAAGAAAACAAATGCCAAATAAATATTATAAAATATATAATGAAAGTTCCCCAGGAGTCGTGTCACTGGTGTTACTACGCAGCAAAAAAAACTCTTATTTTAAAATAAAAGTCACACTGATGACATCACTTGACTTCCTTTTACCTGTTTTCTGAGGATCTATGAAGAAAAGCTCATGGTGAGTCCACTGTGTCTTTCAGTTATCAGAGATTCTCATTTAGCTCATGATTTCATATGAAGCTTTTAGCTGAAGTCACTGGTGTGACCGACTTTATTCTTCAGTAATTGTGAAAAAATAGAATACAAATGGATTAAATTCCATATTTTAGTGGATATTCCATGATTGACAACATGTGGTTTGATGTTCTGTAGCAGCCATTTTGTAAAATGCATGTTTCATTAAAAATGTCTCTGGTGTTTCCTTTCTTATGTGTAACACCAATGAGGATCAGTAACACCAGTGACTCCTATGAGGAAAGTGGACGTTTCTGTAGAATGACCCATCTGTCCTTTGCAGTTGTGTCAATTAGATATTACCATTTTAGAGGAAAGAGATTTTATTAGCTGTATTATGTTGCACTAACGTAAACTCAAGAAAGTAATAATGAGAAAGATGTTGAGGAGACCTCTTGTGGATTGTTTGAGAAATGCATTCTGTGTAAGATCATATCCCATCAACCCTGTCCTGGTCTTGGAGTCGGCCTGCCCTGCACATTTTGGTGTTTTCCTGCTCTGCCTCGCATGATGCCACTAATTAGCTGATTAACAAGCCCTTCAAGCCCTTAATGAGCATGAATAAAGCAAGGAAAGCACTAGATTTACCAGGCCAATGCTACTCTAGGATCAGGGATGGGAATCAAGTGATCAGCATTCATGATCACAGTTGGGCAGAATACCTTAAAGTAGAGACGGATGAATAGTCTTTAATGTATTAGGTGACATACTGTGTTACAACACATACAGTTATGTATTCAGAATACATTTATATGACATCTTGATAAGGCATTTGGGAGGAACTCTGCTGTTGTAATTTTTCTTAATTCACACGGCTCCTCACTGTTACTGATTATCAGTTTTTTTCATTATGTACTTCAGGAAATATATTTCATTAAAAAAATGCTATGAATTCTTATGAACTAAATGGGACAAGTTTTGCTACGTGCACCAGGGGACCTTCATAAAAGATATATGCGTATGTCTTTTGTGTGTTTATATGTTCTCACGGGACTTCTAAACATAAATATGTTAAAATTTTATTAAATCTAGAATTAGACTGAGTTTCTGGGGACAATAATGGATCATTCTCAGCACTGCAGTAACACTGACGTGGTGGTGGTGTGTTAGTGTGTGTTGCGCTGGTCTGAGTGGATCAGACACAGCAGGGCTGCTGGAGTTTTTAAACACCTCAGTGTCACTGCTGGACTGAGAATAGTCCACCAACCAAAAATATCCAGCCAACAGCGTCCTGTGGGCAGCGTCCTGTGACCACTGATGAAGGACTAGAGGATGACCAACACAAACTGTGCAGCAGCAGATGAGCTATCGTCTCTGACTTTACATCTACAAGGTGGACTGACAAGGTAGGAGTGTCTAATAGAGTGGACAGTGAGTGGACACAGTGTTTAAAAACTCCAGCAGCACTGCTGTGTCTTATCCACTCGTACCAGCACAACACACACTAACACACCACCACCACGTCAGTGTTACGGCAGTGCTGAGAATGATCCACCACCCAAACAGTACCTGCTCTGTGAGGGTCCATGGGGGTCCTGACCACTGAAGAGTGTAGAAACAAGGAGGTGGTCATAATGTTGTGCCTGATCGGTGTATGTTTGTCACAGATATGGTCTTTATTGAAAGGCTTTATGCTCGTTCAGCTAGTGATGAACAGTCATTTTGAAGTCATGTCTCTTCTTGCCTGTGTGTGTGTGTGTGTGTGTGTGTGTGTGTAGGTGCTGCAGACGCAGTTGTCGTCGCTGCAGCAGGGCAAAGAGAACATCCAGAGCAGCTGCAGCTTCACGGAGCAGGCCCTGAACCACGGCAGCGCCACCGAGGTGCTGCTGGTGCAGAAGCAAATGAGCGAACGGGTCAGCGCTCTCGCCCGCCACGACTTCCCTGAGCACCCGCACGAAAACGCCCACCTGGGGTGCCAGGTGGAAACAGAGGGGCTGCGACGCTCCATCCAGAACCTGGGTGTGCTTCTGACCACCAGCGCAGTGGGACACACCAGCGTGGCCACTGGAGAGGGCCTGAGGCACGCTGTCGTCGGCCAGCACGTCACCATCACGGTCACCACCAAGGACAAAGAGGGAGAACTGGTGAGGACCGGAAACGCGGCTTTAAAAGTGGAGATTTCGGGGCAGGACGGTGGGCGGGCAACCGATATAGAGGTGGTGGACAATAAGAACGGCACGTATGAGGTGGGCTACACACTGCGGAGTGAGGGCGAATACTCCGTCTCTCTGCTGCTGTACGGACAGCCCATCCGGGGCAGCCCCTTCAGGCTGCGCGCCGTCAAACCCTGCGACGTGCCCCAGTCTCCAGACGACGTGAAGAGGAGGGTGAAGTCGCCCAGCGGGACCGGAGGCCACATCAGACAGAAAGCCGTGCGCAGACCCTCCAGCATGTACAGCACCACGAAGAAGAAAGAGAACCCTATTGAGGATGAGCTCATCTACAGAGTTGGTAAGACCACCAAAGGAAAACCTGTACGATTAGAGGTTTAGGGACACTTAGTGTTCTTAATAAATGAGCACGTTTTATTTGGCAGTAACACAAAACATGAAACGGCTGTTAAGATCTTTTCATTTTTCTTTGTAAGAACTGCAAAACTGGAGGAATAACTGAATTCAAGTCTTGGGAATAGTGCCAGACCCTCTCCACACATTCAATCCCCTTATTATAATGTCAGAACTTATCAGCGTTCAAGTCTTTTGGCAGTCTTTAAAGTCTTTAACACACTTTTGGCAAAATTTTCTGGAAAAAAAAAACGGTTAAATCATTATTATAGGCAAAACATACTCCTCATACCAAGGAAGATGCTGTACGTTCTGCACAATATACACAAAGGTGGGTCACACTTTATTTGAATGGTCCCCTATAGATGCTCTACTTAAGCAATTGAACATGAGAGGGAGTGTGTCATCGCGAAATAACACACTCCTCGAGTGTTCTATTGCTTTTATACAACAGTTAAATAAATAAAGTAATAAATTAATAAACTGGGCCGTGAACGCGGCGTTTAATATGTTTTAATGTTCGCAGTTCCTTCACCAAATTATAGTTCCTTAACGAGCAGCTTGTTGCTACGTCAGAGTAACGAGCTCCGCCCACTCGCTGCACAGCCGGCAGTTCGTTCTTCAGCTCCTTGCACTAAATTCCCAAACTGTCATCACCACTGAGCAGCTTTTCAGTCGGCAGCTGAGACAGAAGAACAGCTGAACAACCTGGAATCAGCCAGAAATGAACCCAACACCATTCGCCAAACTAAATGGGCTGTAAGATGCTTTACAGACTGGCTGGAACAAAACAACATTAATACTGATCTGGCAAAAACTGACAAAACTGAGCTGAACCTGATATTGCGGCAGTTTTATGGCTCAGTCTGATTCGGTCAGACTCTGAAGATCAGACTTCACGTTTGGCGAATGGTATTGGGTTCATTTCTGGCTGATTCCAGGTTGTTTAGCTGTTCTTCTGTCACAGCTGCCGACTGAAAAGCTGCTCAGTGGTGATGACAGTTTGGGAATTTAGTGTCGTCTCATCTTCAGAGTCTGACCAAATCGGCTGTCGGTCAAATGTGATCTTAAAAGTGTCCATTTTCTGTTTGTGGCAAAGTAAGAAGTAAAAACGTTCAAATGGCTTGAGCGTCTCCTACAGCTGTCAAAGTCGTTGCTTAGCAACAGCGTCTCAGCGGAGTGATAGTGTTTGTGAAAACCTGTGATGTTATGGTGAAATAGCTTGCGTGGCCGAAACTAACTGTTGTATAAAGATTAAATCATTAACAAACTTTCTAGTGATCTAGAGTTTGTTATCAACAATATTAGGGTTAGGATTAGGAGTAGATGTAGGTTTTGCTTTGAGCTTAAGGTCACCGTTAAGGTTAGGTTTAGGTTTAGGGTTAGATTTGATGAACTATTTCACACTGAACTTGAAGTTCAGTTGCATCTATTGGAAATTTAGTTGAATATTGCTTATAGACAGTCTGAGCATTTACAAACCATCTACAGTGGACCATCCAAATAAAATGTTACCCAAAGGTGTAGTAAAAGCTATTTAATGTCAAAGGTGCACTCCAGCCAAAATGAATAATGGAACCATTGCTACATCGGCTGTAATATTTATTAAACTCACAGATTAAGCAGAGACGCATTTCGGCACACGGCCTTCCTTAGAGTGCTAATAGCGTTATAACCACCAGCCCAGTAATAGTACGGCAGTATGACATGAACCAACCACTTATGATGTCCTTGAGGTGAATCACAAGTACCAATAAGACCCATCATCGACCATTTCCGAAAAGAATCAAAGCCAAAAACAAGTAGCTTTTTTGTTTTTTTATTTATTTACCTTTTTTGGATTCAGCACTTTACAAGCCCCTTGTGCCAAAGAGGGTAGCCTGTTCATTTTTTTGGTACATCTGTTGTCAGTGTGCCTGCTCATCTCCTACAGTGGTGCCACAGTAGTGTCGCGAGTGGGGTATTCCGGTTTAAAGCCTAGGAAAACCCCCTTCTAATGATGTATTTTCAAGGTGGAAAGAACTTTTAGAAAACTACAGGGTCTTTGTGTTTGTGTCTGTATTTATTAGGGTCTACATAAGTGGCACATCAGTGGATTTCTTTATTGCTTTTTTCCCAGCGGTTTCATGATGTTCAGTTTCATGCAAAGGTTTGTGTGCCCCTCGATAAATAAACATTTTGAAAGTGAAAATAAGTTATAAACACATCCTTTACAGAAAACACATTTCAGCATGTTCAGCAATTACTGTTTATTCGCTGAATATAATATATTGGGGGAAAAATAAAACATTAGCTGTGGCCTGTGCAAAAATTGTGACATATTTTAAATATTATGTTTTATTTTTTGCAGTAAATCAACAAAACATGTAACATGACCATGTTTACAAACAGCTGCATTCGCATGCTGGGTGTTTTAATGTCAGAAAACACAAAACTGGATGGACAAAAACACAAAAAGCATACAAAATTCTGTCAGAGTGATGGTGAGGGATGCACTGCTGCACTACGAATGTTAAATTTAACATATTAAACGCTGGCTTTATGCTGGATTGACCCTTTAACAAAACTCTTTTTCTTATTTAATAGAAAAGCAACAATAAAAACATTACTCAGCCTTTTGACACGTCTGTCAGTGAATGTGTAAAATAAGTCACTGCATTCTGTTATTATGGTTTTGGCCGTTTGATATTAGATGTCGGTGTGTAGCTGTGAATCTTTCTAACCTTTTACTCCCAGCACAATGGCGATATCTCATATTTCTGATTAGATTGAAAGAAAGTTATGAATGTAATTTTCACTGGTGTCGGTTTGAGATGATTTGTTTTTGAGGTGTTTTTCTGTGTTTGTGCGTCGCAGGCACAAGAGGCAGGGAGAAGGGCGAGTTCACTAATCTCCAAGGCATCTCCACCTCCAACAATGGCAGAGTAGTAGTGGCGGACAGCAACAACCAGTGTATACAGGTGAGTCCAGATAAATTAATGATTAGTTGGTAATTGATGGTTATATAATTTGATTCTTTTTAAGTTGGAATTGCAAAATGGAAAGAAAATGTGAAGGAAATCGTGACGTAACACACAGTTAAAGTGGTCCACGCATATGTTGACCTCTAGGGTTTCATTTTGTTGTACCGTTCTCTCTATGCAGGTGTTCACTAATGATGGGCAGTTCAAGCTGAGGTTCGGAGTGCGCGGCCGCTCTCCAGGGCAGCTGCAGAGGCCTACTGGAGTAACTGTAGACATGAATGGAGACATCATAGTGGCTGACTATGACAACCGATGGATAAGCATCTTCTCCTCAGACGGGAAGTTCAAGGTAAGGAGGTTTAAGCTTCTGCAGAGAAGCACGTGATCTTAGATCTGCAGATACTGACCTTCTACAAGCACCTAAAATACAGAAAACGTGGAGAGACTCGTTCAGTTATTCTGCTTCTAAACTGTGGAGCTCAGTTCACCTTTTATTAGACAGTCAAGCTCAGAGCTCCCCTTTAAAAAGCATCTAAAAACGCAGCCCTTTAACTCAGCAAAACTACGTCTCCTGGTATTTATTTATTATTTGATCTGTGTCATTTTCTTATATGATTCTAAATTAATATAATAAATCATAATTTCTTGTATTACTGTTTAGCTTTATCACCCGTCTGTAAAGCACTTTGAGCTGCCACCGGCATGAAAAGTGCTATATAAATAAAAATTATTATTATTTGAATTGATAACAGAACCACAGCTAACAGTTATTTTGTACATTCAATGGATCTATTGACTATTTTTCGATTTGCCAACTAATCAAACTCATAGTTTCTGTGGTTTCCTCTTTGCCCTGTCACAGTGAAATCAATTGTATCTGTGCATAAACACTCCTTATGTTATGGTGCAATAAAACAGAAACCATATCACCCAAACACTGTAAGCAATCTGAATTATATACATTGGTGTAATTCCATGCCAAATCAGACAGAATCCTGGAAAGGTTCTGCTGCATGTCTCAGATTTTGTTCATTCTTTTTGGTTGTTGTTGCTTGTAACCTAAAACCAAAGCTGAACTCAAACTATCACATTTATTCACTCTCTTGAAAACTGTAATATTTACTCATTAGAAAACATCAGGGGGAGCTATGTTTAGGGTTTAATATTTCTAGAAATATGATTCCGATCCGACGTGAAATTGGGCAGAGATAAAAGCAAACATGTTTTCTCTCTGCTTAAATGCTCAGCCTGGGAAAAAGTGCATTATTTCCAAACTTGAGTGTTGTAAACACAGATGCTGAAAGCTGCAGGTTATGAGACGAGAGATCTGTACATCCAGTGGTTTTCCAGATAATGTCAAGAAGACATGATAGCTAAAAGAATGAAAAATGGTGTGAAATATGTTTAAAGTATGGTCACTTTGTGTGCAAAGTTTCAAGGTCCTTCCTTGTTGTCTTCATGTTTAAACTTAACAAAATATGAGCCACATGTTTTGCCTGTTCGACTGATCCAGTCTACATGAAAATGCAAACTGCTTCGTTAATCTAATTGAAAACATATTTAAATGTGTTAGCAAGCCCTCATTTATTTGGATTACAAAAAAAGCTGTTCTGGCTATGGAATAGCAACTGGTTGGTAAGAAAATGTTTGTCTTTATCTCTGCCAAATTTAATGTGGCTGAGAATTATATTTCTGGATATATTAAGCCCCAAATACGACTTCCCAGATAAATAAATATTGAAGGTTTTCAGCAGAGTGAAAAAATGTGAAAATGATGGGTGATACAGCAAAAATATCATATTATGTTACTTAAAACACATTTTTGCAATATTTTGACACACGGACACAATGCACACAATAGTGCCTCAAGAAACGGCCATTAAAAACTGCATACAGAATTTTTGTTTAATGTTTCACTGAAACTAATTAAATTAGACTAATTATGTTCTCTTTATAATGAAACCTGAAGCTGGTCAGTGTTCTTTCAGCACTGCTAATATCTACAACATGTTCAGAGAATCCAAATAATAAACTTTTATCACTGCAACGATTAAATATTGTCATATTGTCCAGCTCTAGTATTACTTCTGTTTCACCGATCGCCGCTCTCTCTGTGCAGAACAAGATCGGAGCTGGGAGGCTGATGGGGCCGAAGGGCGTGGCTGTGGATCGTAACGGTCACATCATCGCAGTGGACAACAAAGCCTGCTGCGTCTTCATCTTCCAATCAAACGGAAAACTGGTCACCAAGTTTGGGGCCAGGGGCACCTCGGACAGACAGTTTGCAGGTACTGGGGTGAAATGACCTACAGTTTTTTGGGATGTTTGTAGATCACAGATAACTAGAGTGTAATATGGGACTCACTGTTGCAGTTCTGAGCATGTTTAAATGGATATGAAGATGCTTTTCTGCCAGTGTGTGGGCGTGTGAGTGGTTTTACATCACTTAGTTTAATGATTCAAGTTCTACTGAGACAAAATCCCCCTGCTGTGTGTTGTAATGTGTGCTCGTTCTCTAACAAGCAGCCTTATTCACAGACCTGTTTCACACAGTGTTTGATCTGCTTATGGCCTTGAACGCCAGCTTCACACCAAACAAACACCGTCGAGGCTGAAAAATCCCTTTAACAGAGATCTTTAAAAATCCAGCTGGAGATGCCAAATAGATAAAACAGTGTATTCATCTGCTTATCAAAGCAATATTCTGTAAGACTGACCTCTTTTAAGCTGTACAGATCAGCGTTGCTCAGGTATTGATTGATTTTCGGGATACCGGTTAAGTGAAGACATGGCCTAAATTGATGCTCAGTGCCAAATTATGGCCTAATTTAGTCCAAGACTAAATTTAATCCGTGTCTGAAAACCGAACAGAAGATTAGGGCCCGACCGATATATTGTTTGGCTGATAATATCAGCTGATATTAGCAACCCCTGGTATTATCAATATTGACTGATAAAACTGCAGATAATTAGTGCCTTTTTTGGATTGCAGCATTGCCGGAATTCGAACTTGCAATCTCCTGATTATCAGACAAAACCCTACGCCTACAGTACGCATCCAGACCTGTCCTTTAACAAGACAGTAAGATGCCATAACCCACAAAAAATATTTTTATGAATAGATCTAATGACAAGTGAGAAAAATAAAAGAAAATAAAAGCATTTTGAGTAGCTCCTCCCACAATTTAAGATGTGTGATAATTGAGAAGAGACGATAATATGAAATGAAAATCTGTAATATACAACTCCAGTTCCAAAAAAGTTGGGACGCTGTGTAAAATGTAAATAATTGTAAATAAAAACAGAATGCAATGATTTGCAAATCTCATAGACCCATATTTTATCCACAGTAGAACATAGAACACATATCAGATGTTGAAAGTGAGACTTTTTACCATTTCATGAAAAACATTAACTCATTTAGAACTTGATGGCAGCAACACATCTCAGAAAAGTTGGACAGGGGCGACAAAAGACTGGAAAAGTAAGTGGTACTAATGAAAAACAGCTGGAGGAGCAATTTGCAACTAATTCACAATCTGAGAAAAACTGCATCCGAAAATGGTGGAACAATTTCAGAAAAATGTTCCTCGACGTCAAATTAATACTTTACATTTATGTACATTTTACACAGCATCCCAACTTTTTTGGAATTGTGGTTGTATATTATAGCGTTTCAATACATTTTTAACATTTTTCTGAAATTGTTCCACTATTTTCGGACGCAGTTTTTCTCAGATTGGTGAGCCTCTGCCCATCTTTGCTTCTAAAAGAGACTCTGCCTCTCTAAAATGCTCTTTTTATATCCAGTCATGTGAGTTAGTTGCAAATTACTCCTCCGGCTGTTTTTCATTAGTGCCACTTTCTTTTCCAGCCTTTTTTTTCCCCTGTCCCAACTTTTCTGCAATGCTTTGCTGCCATCAAGTTCTAAATGAGTTAATATTTTTGATGAAATTGTAAAATTTCTCACTTTCAACATCTGATATGTGTTTTAGGTTCTATTGTGAATAAAATATGGGTCTGTGGGATTCGCAAATCATTGCATTCTGTTTTTATTTACATTCATGTAAATTTTACACAGCGTCCCAACTTTTTTGGAACTGGGGATGTAAATATTAAATTGCGTCAGCTGATTATTCGACCCTAAAACTGATATCAGTCACACATTTTTTATATTGGCCAGGCCCTAATTTACTTCATAGGCTGCAAGTACACCGGTCAGGCATAACATTATGTTATGTACATTGTACTTGTTTCTACACTCATTGTCCATTTTATCAGCTCCACGTCCTCTATACGTGCACTTTGCACAGCACTGCTGTGTCTGATCCACTCGTACCAGCACAACACACACTAACACACCAGCACCATGTCAGTGTTACTGCAGTGCTGAGAATGATCCACCACCCAAATAGTACCTGCTCTGTGAGGGTCCATGGGGGTCCTGACCACTGAAGAACAGGGTAAAAGGGGGCTAACAAAGTATCAGAGAAACAGATGGACTACAGTCTGTAACTGTAGAACTACAAAGTGCACCTATATAGTAAGTGGAGCTGATAAAATGGACAGTGAGCATAATGTGGTCATAGTGCTATGCCTGATGATGCATTTTACTGAAGACTAAGCTATTGAATATGGATTAATATGGTTGATATATTACATTTCAATGGCCAGATTTACCCAGGCTTCAGTTCCATTGTGTAAAGGAATGTGTTCATGCCTCTGTCCTGCTGTCCTCTCTGTTCCTCAAATGTTTCTCCATTGTTTTTCCAACGTTATTTGTAAGTGTATGAATTAAAAACTCAGCTTTCGGTCTATGTGAATGTTATTGGTCTACGGTATGAATCTCACTGTTTATTGTAGGGACTCTTGATCTTTGAATGGAGAGGACACATAGACATAAACAGCTAATATACCCCAAAACCTTAATCTGTTCACCCACCTTACCCCTTTTAGTTATTGCCATTTCCTGCTTAGTTTACCTTTTAACCCTGGCTGTTCCTGATCCGTAGCCCTGAGCAGTGCATGTGGCATGCTGCCCTTTTGCTCACACTGAAGGCTTTTTCTGACATGGGTTTGGTGTGTAGGTGCAAAATGCCAGCTGCTTCATGGGCTTCACTCCAAGCAGTCCATTGTCTTGCTCTGCCGTTTGTGATATTGTGGACAGAGGCACTTTTGGAAAGGCCTTCTGTTTGCTTCTGTTTATTTGTCTCTCATTTCTGACCTTGTTTGTGTTTTTGTCCCCTATTCCTTTTAGAAAAAAGTGGTGCAAACTTTGCACTGGAGCAAAAGCTTAGTAAATCTGGCCCTGGGTTCAGTAAGTATGGAGCGCACTACGCACTGCCGTGATGTGCCTAACATTCGTCCCCGACTGCTATAAGATGAACGTACAATTTGTGATCATGGTATAATCACGTTGATCTTAATTGGAATCAAGTAATGAATGATACGTCGTTGCTGTCATAAGAAAACATAAATTCATTTTTATTGTTCATTGTAAAAAATATTTGGTGTCTTATCGTAAAAATTTAGTAACCGTGCAGTTAACAAAATGTAAAACCTAGATTTTTTCACAGTTTTTGTTTTACATCTTTTGAAAATGCCAGCTGCCATTCATATTGTGTAAACATTCCAGGACTAATGGACCAATAGAAATGTCCCAAATTTCCTTGAAATAAAATCTTGTTACATTAATAGACATTAAACTTCAGAGCATTTTTCCTTCTCCTTTAATGTTACCTTTTCGAAGATACCAGGTTTTCTTAGGACAGCGACAAAGCATCAATATGTACGTTGCAGAATCGTCAGTCTATTTAAAGGGTTGCAGATCAATTTAGCATAAAATGGTTGATTTTGCTTTTATTGTTTACAGTGTTTCTAATTACTGAAACTCCTGATTTATCACAGAATGTCAACTGCCTGAAATGAAATGTCGTGTTACCAATGAACAGGTCTTTAAATTGCTCTTGATCACCCAGAAGATCCTTTTCTGTTGGGCCATCAGCCCTCGTCCCCTTTTTCTCTCTGTTCCTTACTCTGTGTGTCTTTACAGGTCCTCACTTTGTAGCCGTTAACAACAAGAATGAGATTATCGTGACAGACTTCCATAATCACTCCGTTAAAGTAAGTCCATTTTTTAGACATCCATATTGCCTACATTAGGGTGTGTCCAGTGGGCCATGAGGCGCTCTCTAGTGGTCCGCAGGCCTGTGCTCAGGGGCGGCAGTAATTCGTAGTGGGCCAGTAATGTTACTGTAAGTTGAAACGTAAACTGAAAAAAAGATTACCTTAATAATTACAATCTAAGAATCAAACCTTTTCACATTATAACGAAAATAAAAATGAATAGAAACTTAAAACGTCACAGTAGAGGGCTAATTAAAGGTCATCAGTCTGCTAGCCAGAGATGGAGAAGTTTGTTTGGTTTGGACTTATCACAGCTTTTTCTTTAGTTCCGTTTTAGCTCTGTTTTGACATGTGTGAACACTCCACCCGTATTCGGGTCCGCAACAAACAGCTGAACCGGTCCGCTTCAAACCGAACCCTGTTCAGTTCACTGCTGGCGGAAACTCGTTCTGTGATCAAACGAGGCAATTCATCAGTAGAGCTGGCTTTACTTCTCTTCTAGAGGCACGACGGTGCTGTACAGTCAGTGTAGCGACTGTTTTAACAACTGACTCTTTATAGACATTCAGCACAAGCTGCTGTTAAAAACGATGGACGAGCCATAAAATGATAAGAGAGGCGTTTGATTTCAGCTCATGGATCGCAGAGCGTATATTTGGTCGAGCATCAGTGACCTGAGTGGTTAAACTCAAACTGACCTGAGTGGTTAAACTCAAACTGACCTGAGTGGTTAAACTCAAGCCCGGTGAGAGGAGGGTGGTTTCAAATCACAACACCCCAAAAAACTAAGACATCTCGAGACCAAACAATTATTCTTTTGGGAAAGCCAGTGGAGTATTTTCAGTGAAAACACAATGCAGCTCAGAATCACAGTCCACATCTACTTCGTGCATTTTATTCTGTTTATTTTTATTTTATTTTCCCCACTTTGTAACATTACTACAAGCATTTTTATAAACATGTTTTATGTTTTTTCAACAAAACTGCAAATTTTGCAAACCTGCTGACAACCAGAATGGCCAATCTGATCTTTTTCAGGACCTAATTTTCAGATTTTCAGTGTCAGTATTTAAGGAAAGAAAAAGTATTTAACCCTCCTGTTGTGTTCATTTTGGCTAACACTCATAGTGTTCCTGGTCACTTTTGACCGGGATCATTTTATTCCATTATAAATCAACAATAATTCATATATTATCAACAATAATTCATATATGATCACCTAATGTTGTGTCAGATCTTTTTATGAACTTCAGCTCTTGTGAACATCATAAGTTTTGAACTTGTATTTGCTGTTTATGTCCTGCAGGCCTCATTTGCCTGAGCTCATACCGCTCATTTTTTTAGGGAAAAAACATTATATACATATTATTTTGACTATAACGAATACTAAGATGAAACCTATTGTAGAGTTTCTCACAGAGTACTTCACTGAAATGTTTACCAAAGTCACTTTTTTGAAACCAGTTTCTAAGTTTTCTAAACTGTGGTACAAAATAACAACTTTTGTTTATTTATTTATTGTATGAACATATTTACAGTTTTCTGTTGTACTCTGGAAAGACAGTGCCATAATGTTATCCTTATGTTCCTCAGTTTTGTCCTCTCATGAGCGTGTGGGGCTGCATACTGTGGTCGATGCATATATACACACCGCATGTGTGGCACACAAAGCTAGTGTTTTACCTCGTGCACAGTTGGCACCTCTTTCTTTTGACTCCTCCTTCTCTGGTTGCTGTGGATGTGCTTGATATGTGTTTGAACTCTGTTTTATACACTAATTGTAGTCTTATAGATTTATTTCCAATAACCGGTCATTTTTGACTGGGAACACCATGGGTTCCATAAGACACACAATTTTTTATAAAAATATTTCCGATTTATTTTAGGTGTTCAAATACCGTGTGTGAACAAAGTCAGGGAACCTCATGACAAACAGATGAAATTGACTACACTTTTTAAACAGGAAACTTGTACATCGGTCAGATTTGACCGGAACACAACAGGAGAGTTAAAAAAGTTGGTTTTAGTTTTCCTGTGGGTTGCTATGCTTTGTAGTTTTACACAGGTGGGCCTTTGGGTGGAAAAGGTTGAGAACCCTTGGCCTACATGGTATTTTAAAGGTTTTTACCAAGCATTGGCCTCTTTGTTATGCATCAGTGCTCAAGTTTGATGTGTGTCATAGTAAATCTCTGTTCTTCACACAGGTATTCAGTGCGGATGGGGAGTTCCTCTTTAAGTTCGGTTCTCACGGTGAAGGAAATGGCCAGTTTAATGCTCCAACAGGGGTGGCTGTGGATGCTAATGGCAACATCATTGTAGCAGACTGGGGCAACAGCAGGATACAGGTAACAGCATATAGCCATGCACACCGCATGCAGGATCACAGGTGCTAGAGTAAAGTAATAAAGGTGTTCATGTAAAAATCTACGATAACTGTAAACAGCATCATAGGAAAGACTAAAGTGTCCAATAAAAGCTCAGCACCAGAAGTGTTTGTTAAAAAATGCAACCATACAGGATTATTGCACCTAACTGTGACTGCATTAGGTCTACATTCAGATTTTTTTTGAGACACTTAATGAGCTCCTAGATCAGATATATATCTGATACATGGGCACATATAATGAGATTGGTCAGATAGGAATTTATATCTTTTTTTTATTTATTTAAACTTTACTGCTTTTCTCATACTGCGCTGCGTCTGCTCATAGCGCTATCATTGTCACTGAGTGTCAGAAGAGTATGTATATGTGCACGCAGGTCCTTTCAGGGCAGGAGTGTGTTGACATGACAGATATGGGTCACTTACCAGTGTGACCCATCAAGGTAGAAAGATCAGATCACAGCAAAAAGGTTGCATGTGAGCAATAAAGCTTGGAATGTGAGTGTAGCTCAAATCTACGATGCCGTTTTAGGGCCACTGTTAATAAAAATAAAAATAGTAGACTTGGAGAATAAAGTCATAATATCTGGAGGATAAAGTGGGCTAACTGTAGGGGGGCTGCCATAACGCGTTGGGGTCTCGGTTGCTGTACTGGCGCCGGAGCTCCACTCACTCCTGTCTCTCTGTGGATCATTCTGATCATCATTCTCACTGTCTGTGAAACTTCATGCCCTCTTTGAATGGGGGGAGATGTAGCCCCCGATAGCCGTGTAGACGACCCTGCCTGAGATTCTCCTTCAACAACACAGACAGACAGTTTCCTCCGAGTCCGTCTGGCTCTTTATTCTAGATAAACACAGTTTCCTGCTCAGCCGTTTCAGCCGGTTCTTATACTAATAACAGGCTGGTGCTGATGTGCAGGAGAGACAGGGAGACTGAGTGTTTCTTTATGGGTGAATCGATATGAAAGTAGAACTCCACCAACTCACCGCCCCTCATTTAACACGAGGAGGTGCTGCCTTCACTTTGCAAACCACAACTTTGCAACTTTTCCTGGTATTAATGCCACTTTAGTGTCGGAATTTTATGACTTTACTCTCGAAATATTACAACTTTATTCTCAAAGTCTATTGTTTTTATTTTTTAACAGTGGCCTTAAAACGCCGTCGTACAAACCTGATGTGAAAAGATCACTTTTTTATGTTTGTATGCTTCCGAAAACTGTTTCCAAGATGTTTTGTCCTGTGTGCATTTTTCTCCCATATATCACTGAATCCTCTGAATTACGAGGTCGATAAAGAGTCGTAATTTAATTGCTACGTTCAGGCTGATGCTGCCGCACATCAATTTGATGTCACTAAGCTTTCATTAAAGTTAGCTATAGCGGTCGTATCACTTTGTGGTTCGTCATCTTTCTTAAAGGATGACCAGAAGAGGTGAAAACCACTTTCATTTTGATGTTTAACAGAAACAGCCAGAAACTCTCTTTCAGTTGGATTGTGATTGGTTCCTAGGCGCCTCACGATTGTAAAAATATAGCGCTTTGAAATCGGATGAATCTTTTTGAATCACCCTGTAAAATTATCACCTAATAACATCCAAGTGATTATGTAATACTTATCACAGGCCTACTTGCAACGTTGTGGACATTAATGTAAAAGTACTTTTCAGTGCAACAAACCAAACTTGGGTTTCTTTGTTTGTCCAAGGTGTTCGATAGCTCAGGGTCCTTCCTGTCCTACATCAACACCAGCGCGGACCCGCTGTACGGGCCGCAGGGGCTGGCCCTCACCTCCGACGGCCACGTGGTGGTGGCTGACTCGGGGAACCACTGCTTCAAAGTCTACCGTTACCTGCAGTAGCACTGAGACCGGCGTGCGGAAGCCGTCACAGGGTGCCACCGTCTCTCCTGCTTTCCCTCTCGTATCCCCTGTTTTGCACATTCAGTTCGGCTCAGATCCTCAACCAAACTCGCAGAGGACGGAACGGAAAGCACGAGAGCACTTTTTCTTTCACCTTCTACTGATACTGTGCCCCCCTTTTCCCCCCAAAGAGAAAAAATTACTGTTCTTATTTGTAGTAGTGAACCAGACCTTATGATTGTTTAAGAGGGGGGGCAGGTCATCATATCAAAAAGCACAGATGTTTTACAGTAATCACTAACCTCTAACTCGAGAGGTCAACTGTAAGTTGTAAATTTCACAAGCGAAAATGTTTTCTCGTTTCGAAATCCAGTGTCTTAACCTTGCTGAGCGGTCACTAGTTTCTTAGGTCAGTATTTTCCCAGAAGAAAAGCCTCGATACCAGCTTCTTTACTTCACCCTCCTTCAGAACGGAGTCATACTGTCTGTCCTTCGACTGCAACACGAGTTGTGGATTTTATGGGTGTGTATTTGTATCTATACGCATAGACGTGTACTTGTAAATATGCTTATGTGTGTATATATATATATGAGAATATATATGTATATGTAATCTGTAAATGTATCGCTTTGGCTTCTTCTCAGCATATATATACAACGTCACTGTTTTCCACTGATCCGGCGTAACCCTGTACAGAGCTAGTGCTTACAGTACACCTGGGTACCTACGACGTACTACTGCATTTCCAGCCGACGTCACGGCACACCTGTGCTCTTTTTAAAAAAGCTCGAAATGTGGAGCCAAAAAAAAAAAGGACTTGATTTTATTTTTCTCTTCCTTTTTCCCAAATTTTTATTTTTCTAATTTGTCAGGCTATTTTCTGTGTGGAGTTCTTCTATCAAAAGAAAAAAAAACCTGTGGCTAAACAGAGGAAAAAAGAAAAAATGGTTCAGATATACATATTGTGTTTACTTCTCTAAGATATCGCCATGGGTTTTAAAACGTAGCCACTGTATCGATTCCCATATCGTCGCTGTTCAAAAAAACATTTTTTTTCTAGTTTTTATTTTTCTGCTTCATTTGTCTTTTACATTATGGCACAATTTCCTGATTTAATCAATAGATCAATAGGAATGCTCCAAAATTCTCAGAAAAAAATCTAATTACAGTGAGCGCGTACATGCACTTAATAATCTGATTTCAGAAAATCAGATTTTGTCAGTAATCCGATCAACACGTTTGTATGCTCTTGAGTAATCAGATGGGAAACTCCGTCGGAATCAGACCGTAATCAGATTTCTGCTTTACAACCAGCCAATAAACTCACAGAAGAAGACGCGACGTAAACCTAACGTAAAATCAAACTTCATGCCTCGGCTTGTTTTTTTAAATATCGCGCCGCTTTACCTGAAAATATGAACAAACATCATCTAGAAGATGAAGATTATTTAAATCATTTATTTCGTGTTTAGTTTCAGCGATGCTCCAAAAGTGTTTTGCTGCGCCTCGCGACATCCAACATCTGATCGCGCGCATGCGCAGACTGAGAAATCCGAAAGAAATCAGAGTAAGAGTTCACATGCACTGAGAAATCTGATTACTGAGCTAAAATCCAGCCTCTTTATCGGATTTCTTAATCGTATTTCTAGATCGGAGTATTGTGTTCACCATACTCCGACCATTTGAATAATCATATAACTGCAGAAATCTGATTATGATCGGATTATTGAGTGCATGTATACGCACTCATTGACTTACATTAAAAGTAAAGAATGTTTTTTTCTTCTCCTGCAAAGTAAATTTTGAATATACTCGTTTTTTTGGACAGCAACAGTATATAGACTTCTCCCCTGTACATAATGGATTCCATTTATACTATCAGTGCATCATTGTGACATCAGTGTGGCGGAGAAAGACGCCACCTTTTTATCAGTATTTCTTTTTTTAATTTATTTGGTGTTTTGTACAAAAGTCTCGGTTCTCCGATTTGTGCGTTTTTAGAAGTGCCCTGCACGACCCCCACCAGCCAAAGCTTCCAGAAACGTCTTTCTCTTTTCCGTTTCCTCTTCAAGCTTCACGCGTGTCATAGCTGCCATCATGTCTGTTGCTTAACGACCTAATTTGTCTGTTACAGTGCGAGAGGTTTATGAAGGTTGGCTTGTAGTTGAAATGGTGAAAGTCCATCTCTGTATCTGTGCCAGAGTAGTTTTGCATGTCGACGAGGATCCCGGCAGTCTGGACAGTGAAATGCTCGTGCTGCTGTATCATCTTCGGCCAGTGATTAAAACATTTTTCTGTTCATCGGTTTGGTGACACCTGCTGAGTGATGATGGGTATTTATGTTAACCACGTTTTCCTTTTGGGTCAAGCTTGCTGGCGTCTCAAAGCAGTGGCTCCCGGTTTCAGCGCTGAACAGGCCGTAGTCTATATTTTGATGTTTTTCCTGATCTTTAGTGACCCCCAAGGTGGTCTGCATTTTTAGGTTTATTTTAGGATTGAGATATGTAAATTATCTCTGTTCTGATTGGCTGCCCTGAACTGTGCCTCTTTCAAGAAGCAACCCAGGCTGAAGTCACTTCAGAGTGAATGGGCAGGGCTGAGCTACTCCATGCTGAGTTGACGTAAATGCATTGGTTTTTGTGACATCACAAAAGCAAAACTGGTAGCCAAATACTGACTGTATGGACTGGGCAGTGCAGGATATGTTTCAGTCATATGCAAACGTTTAAACGCCCCCAGTCAAATAACATTTTGTTGATGTTAACACGTCCTCTACAGAGATGGAAGTGTACAGAAATATGTATCTTTCTGCACATTTTAGTGCACAATTTCTATTTATTTAATCAGGCCTGTGGCACAATCAAGCAAGCAAGCAAGCAAAGTTTATTTATATAGCGCTTTTTACAACAGGTGTTGTCACAAAGCAGCTTTACAGAAAAATCCGGGTCCGAGCCCCCATGAGCGTCGCCAGTGGTGACAGTGGCAAGGAAAAACTCCCTAAGAGAAACAGGAAGAAACCTTGAGAGGAACCAAGACTCAAAAGGGGAACCCATCCTCCTCTGGTCGACACCGGATAGTAAAAGCATTAGAACAAAGTATTATAGTACAGAATGGGGAAAACAGGTGGAGCAATCCTATTCAGCCTGCAAAATTATTTTAATTTTGTATTCTTATTAGCCCGTTTCACCCTGAACTGCACTACAGTCCCCAGCATGCACTGCAGCATAGTGTGCATTCTGACCCCCTTCCCCCAACAATTTGTCGGCCAGCGGTTACACAAAAAGAAAAGTGTCTAGTTTAAGCAAATAGGCAGTTTTTAAAAAAAATACCTAAAACAATTAATTTTTATTTTGAATTATTTTTAAATAAGTTTTCAGTGCCTATTTTGTTTGCTTGTTGCGGTTTTGGCATGTTTTGAAGAAACAATGGCCCGTTTACGGCAAAATGTTAAGTAATAATAAAATAAACACAGCTGGCCCACAGATTTACTGAGATTTTTTAAAATGGCCCTTTTAGTGGTTGAGTTTGACACCCCTGGTTTAACATATGGTGAAAAAATTAAATATAAACTGCGCCATAACTTTTACACAGGCCAATTTTTTACTTTTTTTTTTTTGTTAAATTCAGCAAATAAACAGTAATTGTGCTTTAAAGTGTGGAAACGTGTGTCTCTGTAGAGGATGTGTTAAATTATTATAAATTTGACCAGGTGTGCCCAAACTTTTGCTTACAACTGCACTACATCGAACTGTGTTTCAAAATAGTGGGGTAAAATTTTCCAAGATATGGGCTGGATAAACTCTAGCTGGATAAACTCTTGAATAGTTCTTAAGGCAAGCAAAGGACTTCATTATCAGCTCATGAGTTCAGTAAAGTGTTTTAGGAATGAGCAGTGATTTTGGAATCAGCAGCTGTAGAAATAATTGAGCCACTTTAATGAAAATCAGATATTAACCTTTTTTTTTATCATTCGTTTGTCTTCTATTTCACTTTTGTGCAACCTCTTACAATAGAAAAGCTTTATTTACATCTTTATTTACATGCTTTATTTACATCTTATTGCCCCCATTATTGTAAATAAAGGGCATGAAACAATGCCAAACAATGCTTAATATGAATTTTTTTCATATTGATTCATATGATGTTTTTCATTTCATGAGCAAGCTTGCTCATGCAAGTTACATTGGCTGCACAGAGAGAAGCTCCTTGACAGTCTTGTACTTGGCACAAAAGATTCTTATTCAAATGAGCGGTGGGGACATTCACGCAGCATTTGGTTGGCATTGCTACCTCCCATCTGAACTGCTGAAGCCCCTTGAAAATTAAACTACAAAATCTGGCCTCATTGCTTTGACGATTCTTTGGCAATTTAGTGACCTGACTGAGTGAAAACCACGCACAGCTGAGTCAAGCGTGGTAGATTAGCGAGAACACATAAACGTGTGGGAGCCACTGTCTTAGAGAACCACAGCTGACCCAGCCTCAGTTTCTACCTTCTATGTTTCTGTCTCGGCGCATATCCATCCAGCAGCTGATCCTGGCTCAGAGCTGGTCTCGGATGTGTTCCTGACCGGTTATCACAAACTCTTTCCAGTGCATGAGCTCGTGTTTGGACCGACTGATGGTTTAGCACACAAGAGGAAATAAAACTCATTTAGTAATGAAGTGTGTAACACATGAAATCAGCATTGTGTTCATTTGACTGGTCAGTTTTAACAGTGTGCGATTAAAAATTGTAAATATAAAGATCTTTCAACACTTTATTCTGTCTTTCTGTGCCATGAACGGGTGTGTGAATGAGTTCGCACACATTCTGGACACACCAGATGTCTCTTACTGATGTTCATAGGCATTCATTACAAAAATCCTCTGGTTTACTTTTGTGAAGCAACATTATTAGTGTCACTTCTAGGCCTGTCATGTTATATGTATGTATATATCACTGTTGTCAGAATAAAACCTCGTATCTCCAAAATGGTGACTTTACAGGAGAAGCAAAAAAAAACTACTTTACTTTTAATGTAAGTCAATGGAACCAGATTTCTTTCCAAGTCATTTTGGGTCATTTGTTTTGGTCCATTCATCATGAAATTTACATACAATGTAAAGATTAACAGACATTTTTAAATGATGTCAAAAACAACAAAAATTGAGATACAAGGTTTTGTTTGGACAGCAGTATCTATATATCTATCTATATCTATATCTATATATATATTACACCGATCAGGCATAACATTATGACCACCTCCTTGTTTCTACACTCATTGTCCATTTTATCAGCTCCACTTACTATATAGGTGCACTTTGTAGTTCTACAGTTACAGACTGTAGTCCATCTGTTTCTCTGATACTTTGTTAGCCCCCTTTTACCCTGTTCTTCAGTGGTCAGGACCCCCATGGACCCTCACAGAGCAGGTACTGTTTGGGTGGTGGATCATTCTCAGCACTGCAGTAACACTGACGTGGTGGAGGTGTGTTAGTGTGTGTTGTGCTGGTGCGAGTGGATCAGACACAGCAGTGCTGCTGGAGTTTTGAAACACTGTCCACTCACTGTCCACTCTATTAGACACTCCTACCTTGTCAGTCCACCTTGTAGATGTAAAGTCAGAGACGATAGCTCATCTGTTGCTGCACAGTTTGTGTTGGTCATCCTCTAGTCCTTCATCAGTGGTCACAGGACGCTGTTGGCTGGATATTTTTGGTTGGTGGACTATTCTCAGTCCAGCAGTGACACTGAGGTGTTTAAAAACTGATCCACTCAGACCAGCGCAACACACACTAACACACCACCGCCACATCAGTGTAACTGCAGTGCTGAGACATACATACACACACAAACCCAGTTCCCAAGAAGTTGGCACAGTATGTAAAAATGTAAATATAAAAACAGACATGTTTGGCTGGAAATGGACCCAGTTCACATTGCTGTAATCAGCCTAAATAATCAGTCAGGTGATGATGTAATGACTGTGACAGGCCTGGTCGCTACTGTTGGGGGGGGAGAAGAAAGGTAATCATCATCAAATTTTATTTTCCAAATGTATAACTGTGGAAAATAAAAACATACTGCAGTAGTTTATTACAGTAACAAATCACACACATGTTAATCTGTTCACATGATCTCTTAATGCCACCCTCTTACACTGTCAGTCACAGGGCATAAAAACTTTATTACGGAACACACTTGTATCTGGTTGTAGATCCAGACATGATTCTGATCTTACAAAACAAAGTCAAAACCACAGTCCAACGCAGAGCTCATCAGAACAGAACAGGTATTAATAGAAACACTAATAAACTACATTTCTTATTACATACAACATGGAACAGAGGTGAGTTACAATCAATGGGCCCAACACACAAACGTGTTCTTTAACTGTAACTGATGAGATCAACAGTCTTCTCATTTCAGTTTCTTCGCCTGAAATACAGGACACATTCAAAAACAACTGAAACATCTAAATTAAAACCGTAAAGTATAAACAAAGTAAAACGAACGAAAGCAGACCAGGAAAAATGGCACACAATCTTCAGTCTAAAGGCTTTTAGCTTGAGATGAACAACCAAATGAATATTAAGAATTCATAGTCAATGATTAATGTACTAAAAAAAAAAAATTACTAATGTGCACTCAGAGCTAGTCTTCAGGCCTTATGGGTGTGTTTTAGCAATTCCAGCCTTTAAGAAAGGTAGTAAAATGTAACTCTATTTAGCTTATATTATGTTCTGGTCATGGAACTGTCCAAACATCACTTGTTTGCAACCTGTGCAAAAATGTTGAGTTCAACAAAGTTTACTACTTGAGTATAATGTGTTATATACTAATTACTCAGTTATATCAAAGTACAAATATATTTAACACAACTTAAAGGAGGGTCAAAGTGTGAAATATCAAAGAGGTGAAAAAGCATTCAATGTGTTTGACATAATAAAGCTCACAGTATGTTGGAGTACATAATAGTGATAAGTTTTACCTCTAAAGCTATTTGCAAAAAACTGAAATATTACTACCGTTAAAACAGTGACCTAAATTCCACCGTGATGTGGAATTCGAATTTAGAAACTCTCACTTTGAAGTGAAGTCTTTAGTTACTTTTACCTGAAAAGTCAAAGACGCAAGACAACACTGAGGTGAAAGGAGACGTCATGAGCAGCTTCGAGTTGCTATTTGCTTTAAACCTGCAACGTATCTCTACCTGAATTTCAGTAGGGCTACATCGTAAATCCAACAGTAACGAGTAGAACCACCTCTGATTCTTTCGGATTTGGGTGAAGCGGAGCACTGTGCTCTCCTAAAATCATATAAACAGGAGCTGAAGGACCTCACAGTCTGAATCACACCATGGCAAAACCCTCCTGTCTCCCGACAGGAGAACGCCAAGGAATGGAAACTTTTGATTATAGAAATATAACGTTTTTCGTACGCTGGCCGCTAAACGACAGGCCTATCAGTAAAAGTGGCAGATCTGCAGCCGGCTGCCCGGGTCATTCTTGCCCGGGCTAAAGAAGGGCGACACGGGCTCGTCGAAGTACGCGATAAAGTTATAGATGCGCTTCATGGTGACTGCGTCGAAGAACGTGACGTGGCCCCTGTCGTAGTCCAGGAAAACGCCGACGCGTGGCGAGTTCCAGTAGTCGGCCACTGGCACGCGGGAGTCCTCCTCGTTGGCGTACAGTCGGTCCTGAAGACACAGGCTCCAATAACCAGCTGAAGGCGACAGGTTGACAAAGCCCTTGCGGTTGCTGCACTCAGTGGTGACACCCAGGTACCACACGCCCTTGTCCCGCACGTCCACCTCCCAGTAGTGCTGTCCACTTGAGTAGCGGGCAGTGGCCAGGACACCGAAGAAGCGTGTAAAGCGCTGGGGCAGGTCGGGCTCCTGTGAGCGTACCCGGCCCTCTTCCACCTTGGTGTCAAAGTCACTGATTGCCAGGGAGGGGTGGGCCGTGTCCAGGTCGAGTGTCAGGTTCTGGGGCACTGAGAGAGAAAAGATGTGAGCTTTGTGAGTTCAACGGTTCCTAATTCCATCCTATACTATAAACATACACCGGTCAGGCATAACATTATGACCACCTCCTTGTTTCTACGCTCATTGTCCATTTTATCAGCTCCACTTACTATATAGGTGCACTTTGTAGTTCTACAGTTACAGACTGTAGTCCATCTGTTTCTCTGCATACTTTGTTAGCCCCCTTTTACCCTGTTCTTCAGTGGTCAGGACCCCCATAGACCCTCACAGAGCAGGTACTATTTGGGTGGTGGATCATTCTCAGCACTGCAGTAACACTGACGTGGTGGTGGTGTGTTAGTGTGTGTTGCACTGGTCTGAGTGGATCAGACACAACAGTGCTGCTGGAGTTTTTAAACACCTCAGTGTCACTGCTGGACTGAGAATAGTCCACCTACCAAAAATATCCAGCCAACAGCGTCCTGTGGGCAGCGTCCTGTGACCACTGATGAAGGACTAGAGGATGACCAACACAAACTGTGCAGCAGCAGATGAGCTATCATCTCTGACTTTACATCTACAAGGTGGACTGACAAGGTAGGAGTGTCTAATAGAGTGGACAGTGAGTGGACACAGTGTTTTAAAACTCCAGCAGCACTGCTGTGTCTGATCCACTCAGACCAGCTCAACACACACTAACACACCACCACCACGTCAGTGTTACCGCAGTGCTGAGAATGATCCGCCAGTATCCTTGTCTTGCATGTTTCAGTCATTTCCCTGCTCTAAACCAAAGTTGGTGCGTTTAAATACAAACATTCTAACATGCACAGAGCAGGGGTACTCTAAAGACAAGAGTCTAGAACCAAGGGTAATAGAACGACGCACTACTAAAGGCACAGTACAGTTACTGACTCAGGAAAATTACTGCACATACTTGTATGCAGCACATGCATCATCTTCTTCCACAGTATAAGCTGAAAGGGGCCAGTGAACTCGGTGAAATCAGGGGGACAGTTCACTGCCTGCACAGTAAGGCTCACGTGGCTCGGGCTAAAGGCAAGACAACACCACATTTATGCATACAGTATGCTTTTTATATAAGGTTATTGTACAAAAAGAGAGATAAATATTCAACATACCTTGTGTATGCTTTGCTGATACTCTAAAAAAGACAGTCATAATATAAAAAGATTACAATGAATGTCTAAAGACATAAAAACACAACACGCTTTTGTAAGTAAAGACATAACAAAAAGACTTGCCTCAAAATTGGCTGCCTCACTGAGCTGATTCTGAATGTCAGCAATGGCCTTGTCCACCTTAGCTGCCTCACTTTCCACCAGCTTAAGGTTCTCGTCTATTAACGCTATTGTGGAGGCCTCCTCGTCTTCCAGTCTCTCCAACAGCCCATCCTTCTCGTCCAGCAAGAACTGGACCAGAGCCCCGACGTCATCTTCGATCTTCTCTTTCAAAGCTTGCTTCTTCAGCTGTGAGAACGTAAACAGATGTTGGTCGACTGGTGTTAGACTGGTTTATGCACTGACGGCAGATAAAATTAATTCAAACCAGCCTTATCTTGCTTTTACTTTGTAGTCTGATTTAACTCTTACGTACTTTGACATCAGCTTTGGCTTGCTCATCTATGGCCTTGACCCTGGCACACATAGACTTCTGCCAGTTTAGTTTGATAAGCCTCAGCTTCAGCTCGCCCTGGGGAACAAAAGAGGCATCTTCAGTCACATCCTGGTTACAAGTCAAGTCTTTTTCTTATTTTAAAATATTTAGAAGCAGAATTTAGTGACAGCCAAACAGTGCTGAAAGTCTAGCAAGACTAACAGTAGGTTCACAAACAGCTGTTGCAGCAATTGAGTCCGGGTGCTTTAGTGTGACCTCTGGTCAAGCAGATCATCGTCTCTCACCTTCATATCCTCAACAACTTCTGGCACAGGGGCGACGTCATGGTGTCTGAAAACATGCAGAATGGCCAAGACATGAGATGGCATTACATTACAGTGCACTCAACTTGTAACGGAGTAGAGCAAAAGGGTGAGTCCTGTTATTCCACATCAGAAGAGTAGCAAGTAATGAAGTTCAACACAAAGCAGACAGCTCACCTATGAGCCCTGGATTCTCTGCAAACAACACAAATGGGTTTTCTGTCCGTGTGGCAGTACAGTTTCAGTTCCTCGTGGTGTCGTTCACATTTCCCATCCATTTTGAGTGGCTTTGCTGGAGCTGGTGGCCTACACGTCTTCAGACAGTCGAACTCACTCAATTTATCCACCAGGTTCTTCACCAGGTAGTTCTTCGTGAAGCTCATTTTGCCAAACACCTATAAACGTGTGGAAGAAACGGAGAATTATGGTCAGTAGCCAGAATATTAGCCAGTTAGCTGGACTCCGAATGGTTTAAGGGAAATAGCTGGAATACAAGTTGACCAAAACATTAGCCTGCTAGCTAGCTACGCTCCGTAGGGTTTAAAGGGAATGAACTTAGCTGGAATACGAGTTGACCAAAACGTCAGCCTGCTAGCTTAGCTCCACAGGGTTTAAGGGAATTGGCTGAAATACGAATTGACGAAAACATTAGCCTGGTAGCTAGGTTAACTAACCTCATAGGTTTTAATGGGATGAGCTACACGGCTAACGCTAGCTGTTTCCAGAGTAACGTTAGCACGTAAACAATTTCTGGGCCCGGTGTTTTTAAGTTCATTTTAAAGGCAGAGGTTTTTATTTTCATTTTTCCACCACACCCGATTCATTTCCAGCAAGGTAATAATATTAAATTAGTCTGGTGTATAAATGAATCTGGTGGACTAACGTAGCTTTAGCTAACCCAGCTAGGTTAGCTGGTTCATTTACAGGACCTGAACTGGCAACCAGTTCTTTCCGCTTTCGTTCAGGTAAGCTAGCGTTAAGTGTGGCCGTTTATAAAAGAACACTTTGAGCAAAAATACACATCATTTAACCGAACTAGCTAGGTTAATAAACCTGGTTAGGAAGTAGATTTACTGGGTTTTTATCAGACCTGCGAGAGTTAACGTATCTAGTTAGCGAGCTTCTTTTGAAACCCATAGGCGGAAAATAACGGTAATTGTAGTTAAGATGCCTCGCCGGCTCTCCGGCTAGAAAGAGTATATCAAGTGCACAATAACAGAACCCCGGCCGTTCCCGGCTTCAGTGGACTGTGGAACTGCTGTCACTGAAAAGATCCCAGTTAAAATGCGGCCGTTACAGAGAGTGTTGGCCAACTTATCCAGCTTAGTTCGTTAGAGAGGAGGCTTGCTAGCGCTAACGGAGGGAGAGGGTATGGAAACAAGGCGCACCATCCGGCACTCGGGGCACTGGTAACCGATGTCGTCTCCGCCGTTTTCCTCCCAGTGCATTAAAATGCACATGCGACAGAAATTGTGGCCGCATTTTAAGATCACAGGGTCGTCGAAGTAATCAAGGCAAATGGCACAAACCAGCTCCTTCTGCAGTTCCCCCCTCGTATCCCCAGCAGTAGCCATGATTCCCGAGCGCTCGGCTTCCTGAACTGCGGGAAGAGAGCGGAAAGGACGGAGGAAGCGTAGAGGAAGTGGGGCGGATCAAAGTGTTATGGATGCAAAATAAATTAAAAAAATGTCTCGAAGGTAAAGGCGTCTACGGAGCCCCGCTGGTGACATCCTGTATAAATAAAAATAATGCGTGGCCACGACTTAGTAAGGCGTGGGAATGAGATGATTAAGCCGTGGCCACGGCTTAGTAAAGCGTGGGAACGAGATCCTAATGCGTGGGCACGACTTAGTAAGCCGTGATCTCGTTCCTACGCCTTACTTAATCGTGGCCACGATTTAATAATCTCATTCCCACGCCTTACTAAGTCGTGGCCACGCATTAGGAACTCGTTCCCACGCCTTACTAAGTCGTGGCCACGCATTATTTTTATTTATACAGGATGTCACCAGCGGGGCTCCGTATCAACCTACAAGCGTAGGGACGAGATCCTAATGAGAGACACTTTTAAATGTAAGTTTTGGGTTGACTGAGTTGGATAGCTAACGATACAAATGTTTAAAAAAACCCAGTTTCATCAGTGGCCGGCAGTGACCCCACAAATTAATAAATAGCCTACATAAAGTAGAACGATCTGTAAATCATGTACACCGATCAGGCATAACATTATGACCACCTCCTTGTTTCTACGCTCACTGTCCATTTTATCAGCTCCACTTACTATATAGGTGCACTTTGTAGTTCTACAGTTACAGACTGTAGTCCTTCAGTGGTCAGTGGCCATGGACCCTCACAGAGCAGGTACTACTTGAGTGGTGTATCATTCTCAGCACTGCAGTAACACTGACGTGGTGGTGGTATGTTAATGTGTGTTGTGCTGGTCTGAGTGGATCAGACACAGCAGTGCTGCTGGAGTTTTTAAACACTGTGTCCACTCACTGTCCACTCTATCAGACACTCCTGCCTGCTCAGTCCACCTTGTAGATGTAAAGTCAGAGACGATAGCTCATCTGCTGCTGCACAGTTTGTGTTGGTCATCCTCTAGTCCCTCATCTGTTGGCTGGATGTTTTTGGTTGGTGGACTGTTCTCAGTCCAGCAGTGACACTGAGGTGTTTAAAAACTCCAGCAGCACTGCTGTGACTGATCCACTTAGACCAGCACGTCAGTGTTACTGCAGTGCTGAGAATGATCCACCACCCAAATAGTACCTGCTTTGTACTTGCATTTACATATACATATTTGTTTTGATCTCTGTCTCTAAAACTGTGGGGAGTGAAAAAATTAATTCCAGTTTATAACTCATATTTAGCCACCAGCTAAAGGCTGTTACTGTGGTCTCTGTGTCTGTGCTGGGAGTTGGTCACAGCACCCTGAGAATTCTCAGCACTCCATCAGACTCGATTCACTGCCAATTCCACCAGTCCTTCAAAGTTTCTGCAAACGGTGGTCAAACTGTTTAGACGTAAACAAAGTCATGCGATGTGAAATGCTTCATTCTAGAGAAACGAGTCAGGATCGCTCGCAGTGGTGGTGATAGGAACCAGATGTCTGAAGAATTTAATGACGTTATAAGCTTCTTCACAGGACGTTGTTATCAACATTGTTTTGAGTTAATTTCACATTAAACCACTCTGAATGACTTTGTTTGGATCTCAACCGTGGAATCATACAGAAAAGTTGGCTGAAGGTTCCCCACATAAGAGAACTATTAGTGCTTGTGTGCATCATTAGAACGGAGGAATGTGCATAAATAGCATATCTGGAAACAATCAAAAATTGGGACAGGGCAATTTAAGACTAGTAACGCTGTGAACTGTTCAAGAAACATCTTAAACAGGTGATCTAATCATGCTTGGGTATAAAGGGAAATGTCCAGAAAAAGCATCTCTTTATGAGCATAGATAGATCCAGATTCTCCACTCCAATGTCAGCAAATAGTCCAACTATTTTAAAAATAACATTCCTCAGTGAGCGATCATAAGGACTTTTAGTATTTCATGCTCCTCAGTGCATAATATCAAAAAAGATTCAGGGAATCTGGAGTAATATCTGTGCATAACAGTGGTGGACAGTAACTAAGTAAATGTAATTCATTACTGTACTTAAGTAGTTTTTCCTGTATCTGAACTTTACTGAAGTTTTTCCATTTCGGGTGACTTTTTACTTTCACTCCACTACATTATGAGAAATCTGTCGTTCCTTTCGGTTTATGTGTGTATAAAAACGTAACATGTCAAAACGAAAGAAGGGCAAAGCAAGAACACCAATCAGGGCACAGCGCTCACTTTGTTTTGAGCTTGTTTTGACCTGTTGGTCATACTGACCCAGTGCAGCACACGGTTCAACATCAGTGCAGCAGCGTAAAATTTTGGGAGAGTCTATTAAACATAAATGATGGAAGAAACTCCTGACTCTAACCTAACTATGTGAGAGACCTACAGATGCAATATAGTGAAGGAAAACTCATTTGTGAACCTGTGTTAACTTGCTTGTAAAGCATTAAACACCTCAGTGTCACTGCTGGACTGAGAATAGTCCACCAACCAAAAATATCCAGCCAACAGTGTCCTGTGACCACTGATGAAGGACTAGAGGATGACCAACACAAACTGTGCAGCAGCAGATGAGCTATCGTCTCTGACTTTACATCTACAAGGTGGACTGACAAGGTAGGAGTGTCTTATAGAGTGGACAGTGAGTGGACACAGTGTTTAAAAACTCCAGCAGCACTGCTGTGTCTGATCCACTCAGACCAGCTCAACACACACTAACACACCACCACCATGTCAGTGTTACTGCAGTGCTGAGAATGACCCACCACCCAAATAGTACCTGCTCTGTGAGGATCCATGGGGGTCCTGACCACTGAAGAACAGGGTAAAAGGGGGCTAACAAAGTATCAGAGAAACAGATGGACTACAGTCTGTAACTGTAGAACTACAAAGTGCACCTATATAGTAAGTGGAGCTGATAAAATGGACAATGAGCGTAGAAACAAGGAGGTGGTCAGAATGTTATGCCTGACTGGTCCTTCTTTTGAAAATGTGTGGCACATTATTATATTATCTTACAATAATAGGCTCCAGCTCCCCCTGCAACCCAGATGGATAAGTGGCTTGTGTGTGTATTATATTATATTATATTATAACTGAATATTGGTAAAAAAATCTTTCAAATTGACCGGTATCTTCAGCCCCCTAAATGTTACTTAAGGCCCAATCCCATTTCTTATTTTACCCCTACCCCTTGTTTTCGAGTGTTGCCCCCTTGGAACTGAGTTACAGGGTAGTGGTTGAAATCTTCCTCTATCAAATGAGACCCTCAAATAAAAAGAGCATCACTTCATTAACAGCTACCAGCGCTGCTCTGCAGGCGACGCTGCCAGTCTGCAGTGACAGCAGAGGAGGGTAAAGTTCAGCTCCTCACTGCTGGGCTTTAGTTACATTTAGGGCATCATATGCCTTCAAAGAGGGGCAATTATTTGTTATCGCCGACCCTAATTCTTCAGTGATATGAAAAACCTCCGTTTGGAGGGTCATGTAGCCCTAACACTTCACCCTACCCCTCTTTCTCAACAACAATTATTACACTGTAACCCTAGACATGAACACGCAAAACGGAGGGGAGAGGGCTATGTGGAAGGGCGAGGGGTGAAATGGGATTGGGCCCAAGTGTTGTTAAAAGGAGGGTGATTGATGTGGTACACAGTGGTAAACCTGCTCCTGTCCCAACTTTTTTGGAACATGTTGCAGGCATGAAATTTGTAATGAGTGTATATTTACAAAAAACAATCCCCAATAAAGTTCATAAGGTAAAACATAAAATATTGTGTTTTTGTGTTGTTTTTAATTTAATACAGCTCAAACAGAATTTATTAATCACTGCTTTCTGTTTTAGTTGGCATTTCACATACTGTCTCAATGTTGTTGGACCTGGGTTTGTAGAATATGCTGTCAATATGTTCTTTATACCAATTTTGGACAGGAATTTTTGAATTTGGATCACGGCATAGTGTGCTGCTTGATGAGACCCTTAGGCCAACCGGCAGTAACCAGCCCAATTGTCAGCTCACACACACACACACATTATCTAAGCCACTTATTGTCCTGGGTCCCAGCGGTCATTGGGTGGAAGGCAGGAAGTCCATCAGATTGTAAACTATAGATATACATACCTAGATGCCGCATTGGGTCCAGCCAGGAACGTCAACGGCGCTGCCATTTTAGGGCGGTCAACATCACAGAGCGTCAGTTTAAGAAAGATACTGTCCAAAATTACACTATTTCAAGAATATTACACTCAGAAAGTGGGATAGGATTATATAACGGAGGGAACGCAGTGATCCACACTCATGTCTGTGTGGTGTTTGTGTAGATATGGCCGTGTGGTTAATGAAGCACAGAGAACCTGCTGATGTGATTGTTTTTCCTCTGGTTTTATATTAAGCTTATTTCATTGAATATACATTGATGGATTTGCTGATGTGTCTGATTGTGTTTCTCGCGCTAAACTCGGTTTTTAACGTCAGGTGCAGACTGAATACCTTCCTGCTGGTCCGAACGGCTAATTATCACGATCAATTGTTAAAGAAGTGAAAGCTACTGAGAGCAGATCCGTGCAGCCTGGATTAATCTGTGTCTGAGGATTATAACAAAACAAATTTGGTGAGTAAGTTCCTCAGTTCCAGTGTTGCTTACCGTTGTTGTCTGTTCAGTGAATGAGCCACGCCTGAAGCCCTGATTCGTCAAAGGGAACGTGAATCTGAAGGGGAACTGAATCGGATACAACACCAACAGCAGCTTTTGTTTACAGTTTATTTTTACAGTTTTCTTACCTATTTTCGGAAGATGGCAGAGTATGTGGAGGACTTCCAATATATCATACAGCCATATCAATTTGAACCAATCGATACCAATCGTGGGGCAGAGAGGTACATGCAGGGCATTGTAAAGAAAAATTAGTACCCAAAGTGCTATAATTTAGCACTATTTACCATTATCAGCATGACATATAAACCTTTTATATTACCTTATAAGACACATGTACGTTTAATGGGCGTTTTGGATAACAGATAATATATGATATTTGTAGTG